CCTCCCCCCCCTTTCTGATATTTTTGAGGTCCTGGATCATGGAGTTAATATGCTTTTCAGGAGGGAAGATTAGTTTCAAGAGTTATTTATAGTGCAAGTCAAGCCTAACTTTTTTACCTTTTCACCAGCATCTTCATAATTATGTCATCTTTTCTTTGCCTGTTTGTTCTGGGGAGAGTTAGAGTTTATAAGAGAATATCTTCTGTACATCATCAGCTCTTGTCATGTTATTTTTAAAGGGGGTTTATATGCCATCATTTGTTATAGATGGGGAGACTCAAAATGATGTCATCAGGAAGCCACCTTACAAAATCTTGTTGCTCACAAAATTCCTGTGAAACAATCCCTATTACCACTCGTTGGACTTTTTACAGCTTTGTAAACCAAGGCCATTGAGACTAAATGACTTGTTTGGGCCTTGATAATCAATAGATTGGCGCGTTCAAGGAGGATTGGGTGTTTCCCTGGTCCTGTTTGTGGACCCTCCTCAGCCCAGCAGTTTATCCCTGCGCTTATTTTCACATGAGTTTATGAAAAGGGTGTTTGTTTCTGTTCCCATAGCATTTTTTAGAAACCTCTTTAAATCACTTTTTACGGAAATTATTTGTTTGAATCTCTCCATCAGTGGCGAACACTGTTCTGTTTATCTTTGTATCCTAAGGGCCCAAACACTCAAGAAATAGTATATCGAATGAATGAGTGAGGACTTAAGAATCTAAGATTTGCTAAAGCATGAACACAGCTAGGTCTTTCTTTAGCTGAGTTTGTCTTCAGCAGTGATTTCACATTTTGACGTAGGTTGACCATAGTGTTAGATATTATGTGCTCATGTTCTGAGAATAAAGAGAATGAGCAGTCGTTAACTTGGTTTGCCATGGAAATCTATTTCTCGTTTTGGTGTTTAAATTGTTTTCTTGAATAATCTATCTGCCCCGAAACATAGACTTGAAAGTTGTGGCTTATAATAAATGTAAATGCACACATTAGTGTTCTCTGTAACACATGAGACGTAAAACCTAACTTTATAAAGTCATGTTTACATGCTTAGAAAAAATTTTGACTGTAGAATGTTTAAGTAGGAAAGTGTTTGAATGATCTTTAGGACATCATGTAACTGAAGATACTTTGAATGATTGCTGACGATCTTTTACAGGGAAAAGGAAAGTATCTTGTCTGTTCTGTGAGTCAAGACTTTCAGGTTTGGTTGGGAAAAAGTATGAGAAAACTGCCCATTTTAGTTACTAAACAAACTTAGTGGCACGACATTTTTTCCCAGGGTAAATGTGTATTATATTACCTGCATTTAGAGAAACAGTTGCCAATCTGTTTTGTGGTGACTTTTTATAAAGCTTCGGATTTGAATGAAGCCTGTGGTTTGCTTGGAGCTTGTACTGACCACAGCCTGTCAGACGCCTCGTGGAGAAACAGTCATCATGACAGTAACTTCGACTCATCCCCAAAGAATCCAGCAGATTATCTGAGGAGATTGCATCATCTTTAGCTAATGTGCTGCATGCTGTTCACATGACGCTGGTTAGACTAGCTCTGAAGCAAGTGTGGTGTAGGAGGGGGAGGAAACTGAGGCCAGTTTTATATAAGTGACTGTTTATAGATTCCACAAATACCAGTAAGAGTGTTGGAAGGTCAGATGTGCTGAATCTAGAACTGTAGTCTCATTAGCTTGTGCAAACTAGCTGCTAACATACAGCGTGTCCCAAAAAAGGGTATGCACACTTTAGTAGCTGATAGCTCAATTTTGAAAATGAAATGTATTTTAATAAACTCTGTCCTTATAATTCAAAATTTGTATATACATTTTTTTGGGACACCCTATATATTGGACTCCTGTGCTATCTGTCAGACACTGCTAAGTAGTTTTATGTGGATTATTTTACTTAATTGTCACAACAGTCCTATAAGTACTCCTATTTAACTTGTGAGGAAATAGATTTAGAAATTAAGCACCTAGACTGGTTAATAGACAGAGCTGGCACTTGAACTTGTCCAGCTTTAGAGTTCACATTAGCGTATTTCCTCCTTTTCTTGCTTCCGAGACATAGGTAAAACCTCAGCCATGGGATGTCTTTTTCCTGTAGTTGGTTCACACAGAAAAGTGGCCTTTTCTATGGAGGTCCCAACGGAGGTCACCTTTCATTCATTCAGCGCATGTTTGTTGAGCACCTGGGCATTGTGGGTTACAGGGCCGGATACAGCAGAGTTCCTGCGTGGAGTGTCACCTCCCATGACACCAGCAGGTGCCCTCTTGTCAACCTTTACATGCCCTCCCTGCCTAGAGTACCTTGAACCACAATGCTTTTGTTCTTTAAACCAGTTTCACAAAATGTTTCTCTCAGAGAAAAAATACATAACTCTGAGACTTTGATATTTTCTATCGTCAACAAAGGGGTTAAACAGAGCTGGGGGGAGGGATATGTATCATCCCAAACTCATGAAAAGCTAAATTCAGAGAAAAAAGTAGAAACAAATGTCTTTAGCATTAAAAAGCAAAACAAAAAATAAACTTAGTATTGGTCTTAGGGAATGAGGGCAGAAGGAACAGTAAAGCGAAGGGAGCAGGAAGGGAGCTGAGAGCCATGCAGGGCGCAGCGCTGCTGTTGGCTGGAACCGCAGAGGATGAAGCTTTGGGACTGTGTTCATCTCTTCATTTTAACACTCTCTCCTTCTAGGTTGGTGGCACTAAGGCTGGTGTGGTCCGGTTCCTCGGGGAGACAGACTTTGCCAAGGGGGAATGGTGTGGCGTGGAGTTAGATGAGCCTCTGGGGAAGAACGACGGTGCCGTCGCTGGAACCAGGTTTGTCTGGAACTGCCGCATCTCATCTCCCTCCCGCAGGGGAAGGCACTCCCCCAGGTCTCACCCATGGTGTCTGGTAGCCGGGAGTGTCGTGAAGCGCGGCTGGAGTTAGTGCTTGTTCAGTTTCCTTTATCCTGTGTTTGGCCCGGTTTTATCAAGTGGGATCCCTGTATTGCTGAACTCTGCTGGACGCTCATCTGATGGTAGAAATATTTATTCCCTTCACTACCTTAGTGGCAGATGAGCCATCCTGTCTCTGCGTATCATATTGTCATTTACAAGTGTGTTTTCTAAAACATTGTTGAGGTTATTTATCAGCCTTCATCCGTGTGAATGCTGCATGCTCTGAGTCACCCCCACTGATTGGTACAATTGACAGCAAACCAGTCGTGACTTATGAGTTAGGAGTTTTTTTGTTTTAGTTATTTCTCATAATTAAGGTTTTTGTTACTGTTCTCATTGCTCTCTAAAGGTATTTTCAGTGCCAACCCAAATATGGCCTGTTTGCTCCCGTCCACAAAGTGACCAAGATTGGCTTCCCTTCCACAACACCGGCCAAGGCCAAGGCCGCTGCTGTGAGGCGAGTGATGGCCACCACCCCTGCCAGCCTGAAGCGCAGCCCGTCGGCGTCCTCTCTCAGCTCCCTGAGCTCGGTGGCCTCCTCCGTGAGCAGCAAGCCCAGCCGCACCGGATTAGTAAGCCTCCCTTCCTTACCGCATGCCCTGCCTCGGGCACGGCCAGTGCACCTGCTTTGCTTTGGTAATGCTAAGTCGCCCCTTGCCCTTGTGGTAAATGTTAGTTGTACCTTGTGAAGCTCCTTACGAGTTTCACAGAATAAAACCCTAGCAAGAATAAAGTTTTTATCAACCCCTTTCAGATCCTTAAGGCTTTAAGTTGTAACAGTTCCTGGTGAACCTGCAGTCACTGCTGAGGAGATGCCTGCTTTTCTCTGAAATTACTTTGGGCACAAGAATGACAGGAAAATTGGGGGCTCTTTTTCTTCAGGGACATAGGTCTCTCTTTTCAGTTTTATGAGCGAAAGTATTTTGAGAAAAGCCCTGTTCTTAGAATTTTAACGTTCCTACAGTCTAATCCTCCGAAAGCAGCTGGTGTGTGGGGTGTTCCTGCCTTGGGCCGGGGGACCGGGCACCTCTGCAACTTGAGGGGTGCTTGCAAGAGCTGTGTTTTGTTGTCTCCTCTCCATCTCCTCCCTTCACCCCTTCTTTCTTCCCCCTGTTGACATTGCTAAAAATAGTCATCAGAATTAAGATAAAATAAGCAGTGTCCCGTTCTGGTTGTTAACCTGTGTTTTATCAGGGTCAAAGCAGTGACTTTTTGGGTTCACCCCCCCTCCTTTAAGCTTACTTACTGGAAGTGAGGCAAACACTGTCGAGCTTTGAAATGGCAGCATTGCCCTCCAGGCGGATTCGGGATCTCTGCATGATGATGGATGGTGAGCTACAGACAGGAGTTAGAAGGTTCGGTGGTGTGGTCTTGCTTTGCTCTCTTCAGGTCGATACAGGGCAGGGTAAGGAAAGGCGGAGGAAGCTGTCCTAAAGTGGGGGCTGAGCCCTCTGCTCGCCGGCTTCCTTCTTCGTATGTTCATGGTAAAGTAAAAACCCGCTTGGATGATTGCATGTTGCATTTGAAAAGAAAGTCTGCGCCTTCAACAGAAAAATTACAAATGGACTTTATGAAGAGGCTTGACAAAAGCAATGAAGTGGAGGGGAGGAAACAGCTCATTTCGGACAAAGCTTATTCCAGGGATCAGCCAACTCCAACGTGGGCATCCAGTCTGCTTCTCCAACCCTGGACAATTCCACAGAGGAGTCAGGTCCGGGTTAGGATTCTTTCTTGAGTAATTTCTATTACGTTGTAATCTTAAGTCCCATTTCTTTGGGAAATAACCAAGCTGCCCCCCCTCCCCACAAGCTGCTAAATTACTTAAATCACATAGGCTGTGTGAGCCTTGAGGAAACAATTCTATCATTTAATTAGCCTGGAAATTTCCAGGGTTTGATTGGATCCTCTGCTCTCATAGTTAGCAAATCACCTCACTACAAGTTGATGGCGGATCCCCATCCTCAGTCTGCGTCTCAGACGAGAGCATAGACAAACTGAGGAAGACAAGAGCCTTCGAGCAGCTAGTGAGGCTCCAGCTGCAGAGGGTGAGGCCAGGGCTGCGTGGATGAGAGTCAGCGGTCGCTGGGGAAGCCACCCTGGACACACACCAATGGATGAGGCCTTTCCTAGACCATCAGCCTCTGAAGCCTCGCTTGGATGAATAGAACTCGACTTGCCCAGTTACCTCTTAGCATGTAGTAAGAGGTTCTTTTCTGTGTGTTTCCACATGACTTTAGCCTCAGGTTGGAAGATGGGGTATGTGAAACATGACAGCTGAGACCTGCTCCTAGCCCACCCCTCACCCACCTNCAGCCCGTCGGCGTCCTCTCTCAGCTCCCTGAGCTCGGTGGCCTCCTCCGTGAGCAGCAAGCCCAGCCGCACCGGATTAGTAAGCCTCCCTTCCTTACCGCATGCCCTGCCTCGGGCACGGCCAGTGCACCTGCTTTGCTTTGGTAATGCTAAGTCGCCCCTTGCCCTTGTGGTAAATGTTAGTTGTACCTTGTGAAGCTCCTTACGAGTTTCACAGAATAAAACCCTAGCAAGAATAAAGTTTTTATCAACCCCTTTCAGATCCTTAAGGCTTTAAGTTGTAACAGTTCCTGGTGAACCTGCAGTCACTGCTGAAGAGATGCCTGCTTTTCTCTGAAATTACTTTGGGCACAAGAATGACAGGAAAATTGGGGGCTCTTTTTCTTCAGGGACATAGGTCTCTCTTTTCAGTTTTATGAGCGAAAGTATTTTGAGAAAAGCCCTGTTCTTAGAATTTTAACGTTCCTACAGTCTAATCCTCCGAAAGCAGCTGGTGTGTGGGGTGTTCCTGCCTTGGGCCGGGGGACCGGGCACCTCTGCAACTTGAGGGGTGCTTGCAAGAGCTGTGTTTTGTTGTCTCCTCTCCATCTCCTCCCTTCACCCCTTCTTTCTTCCCCCTGTTGACATTGCTAAAAATAGTCATCAGAATTAAGATAAAATAAGCAGTGTCCCGTTCTGGTTGTTAACCTGTGTTTTATCAGGGTCAAAGCAGTGACTTTTTGGGTTCACCCCCCCTCCTTTAAGCTTACTTACTGGAAGTGAGGCAAACACTGTCGAGCTTTGAAATGGCAGCATTGCCCTCCAGGCGGATTCGGGATCTCTGCATGATGATGGATGGTGAGCTACAGACAGGAGTTAGAAGGTTCGGTGGTGTGGTCTTGCTTTGCTCTCTTCAGGTCGATACAGGGCAGGGTAAGGAAAGGCGGAGGAAGCTGTCCTAAAGTGGGGGCTGAGCCCTCTGCTCGCCGGCTTCCTTCTTCGTATGTTCATGGTAAAGTAAAAACCCGCTTGGATGATTGCATGTTGCATTTGAAAAGAAAGTCTGCGCCTTCAACAGAAAAATTACAAATGGACTTTATGAAGAGGCTTGACAAAAGCAATGAAGTGGAGGGGAGGAAACAGCTCATTTCGGACAAAGCTTATTCCAGGGATCAGCCAACTCCAACGTGGGCATCCAGTCTGCTTCTCCAACCCTGGACAATTCCACAGAGGAGTCAGGTCCGGGTTAGGATTCTTTCTTGAGTAATTTCTATTACGTTGTAATCTTAAGTCCCATTTCTTTGGGAAATAACCAAGCTGCCCCCCCTCCCCACAAGCTGCTAAATTACTTAAATCACATAGGCTGTGTGAGCCTTGAGGAAACAATTCTATCATTTAATTAGCCTGGAAATTTCCAGGGTTTGATTGGATCCTCTGCTCTCATAGTTAGCAAATCACCTCACTACAAGTTGATGGCGGATCCCCATCCTCAGTCTGCGTCTCAGACGAGAGCATAGACAAACTGAGGAAGACAAGAGCCTTCGAGCAGCTAGTGAGGCTCCAGCTGCAGAGGGTGAGGCCAGGGCTGCGTGGATGAGAGTCAGCGGTCGCTGGGGAAGCCACCCTGGACACACACCAATGGATGAGGCCTTTCCTAGACCATCAGCCTCTGAAGCCTCGCTTGGATGAATAGAACTCGACTTGCCCAGTTACCTCTTAGCATGTAGTAAGAGGTTCTTTTCTGTGTGTTTCCACATGACTTTAGCCTCAGGTTGGAAGATGGGGTATGTGAAACATGACAGCTGAGACCTGCTCCTAGCCCACCCCTCACCCACCTGCCATTCTCTCCATTCTCCTCTCCCTCCCCCATTCTCCTCTCCCTTCCCCCCATTCTCCTCTCCCTGCTTCTCTCTATCCATAAGTGTCTCTCCCCTCCTTTCTCTCTCATGTTCTTTTCTCTCTCTCCGGTCCTTGCCCAGACCCATGCACACACGCTCCCCCCCTCCCCCACACTTGCAGGCAAATACAGGTTTTTCTTAACCTGGTCTTTATAAATCTCTCTGGCTCAGGGATTCAGCTCCTTGGGGTTGGATTGCTGGGCAAGGTTGCCTCTGCCTTTCACTCTGAAACGACGACGAAGAAAGTCCTGACAAAAGTCCAACTATTTAATAGTTCACGGAAGGCTCATGACGCCACGGGGGACCTATTGGTTCCTTAATTTAGGGGCTTATGTTGAAAAAAGTCTCAACCTCAAGTCTAAAGATCAAAAGATTGTCCAAAATGTCACAACAAGGAGAGAGGGTGGTCAGTGGAGCTGTCAATGACGGCTGTAAAGGAATGGAGTGGAGAGAAAGGCGCCAGGTGGGGCCTGTGGAATTTTTCCAGATCCCTGCAGGGCCCTGTCAGCTGAGCTCAGGGTCCTTTGATTTGAGCCACACGTTCTTCTAAACACCTTCCTGGCTGGTCCACAGCCTCTGCTTGATGTGCTCTTTGTGAGTTTACAGACAGGAGGCACACACTGCCTTGTCTCCTGATGACAAGCCTTTCCCAGTAACTGGCAAGTCTGAACCTGGGGGTGCTTTTGCTTTGCCGAGGACACGCCCGCCACGCATGCACCACTCCCGCCCGCGCCCCTCGTAGCCATCACCCTTCACTTCTTTAACTTTCCTTTGCAGTTGACTGAAACCTCCTCCCGTTACGCCAGGAAGATCTCCGGCACCACTGCCCTCCAGGAGGCCCTGAAGGAGAAGCAGCAGCACATTGAGCAGCTGCTGGCCGAACGGGATCTAGAGAGGGCGGAGGTGGCCAAGGCCACGAGCCACGTGGGGGAGATAGAGCAGGAGCTAGCCCTGGCCCGGGACGGACACGACCAGGTGAAGTCTGGCGCTGGCCTTGCTGTGGCGATGGTGATGGGTTCTGAGCTGATCTCGTTGCAGAGATGGTGACGGGTTCTAAATTGAGGGAGGAGGCCGAGCTCCCTCCGTCCCTGGTGCTTGGAGCCGGGGAGCTCCTCTTAGGAGCACTAGAAATGTCTCTGCCGAGCTTGTTTGAAAGCTGTGACCGGGGGTCCAGTTTGCATCATCGAGACGGAGTTTTGTTGTTCCTGAGTCCTCCTTAGCCTTTGGTCTTTATGTCCAGGTCTTTTGGCCTGTTAGGTGAGCTGGTTTCCTGGGACTTTACCTGTGACTGCAACTTCTGGCCTGTAGATGATCCTTTGTATGAGTTTCCGCTTCCATAGGTGGGGCAGTTTTAACGTTGCCCTCTGTTGCCGTAGGGGTGTGGCTTCCATCATCGCCTTCCGGGAATGCCGCCGAGAATAACCTATTAAAGATCATAGAACGCATTCTGGTGTGGGAAGGTTTTAGAGTAACGCCAGCCCTCTTAGCCATAGCTCTTTGGAGGCATCCCTGGGCCTGTCTGGGTAAGAGAGAGGCCACTCACCAACATCCTTGCCTCCCCAGCATGTCCTGGAGCTGGAGGCCAAGATGGACCAGCTGCGAGCCATGGTGGAAGCCGCTGACAGGGAGAAGGTGGAGCTTCTCAACCAACTCGAGGAGGAGAAAAGGTGATCCTAGTGTTCCCGGGGCACACGTGGCCTTCTCCTTTTAAACGACCTTCCCGTTAGCAGCTGTGTTGGTGTCGACCCATAGAACCAAGGGAATGGCCCTGCTCAGTGGAAGTAGTCTTCATCCTGTGAGAGGAGGGTTTGATTTGATTCAGCTTCTTTTGAGTTGGATGGAATCATCCAGACATGGTCTGATTAACTGATCAGATATTTGTCAAGCACCTACTTTGTGCCATGCATCTTCTAGAGGACAACCTTGGTCCGTGTCTGGAGTTCACTCAAACCCGGCTTCCCCCGGTGCCGTCCTGGGCAGGGTATTCTGGGCCGAGTTCCCTTTATGGAACTCCTTCCAGTAACTGATGAAATCATATTCTGTCTGGTGGGTGCTACAAGGTCCCTCTCCTCGAGAAACTCAGTACCTTATTAGGGCCTCTCTCTGAAGCAATTAGGGAATTATGCAGGTCAGGACAAAACCGGGTGCTAAACTGAGAGACAGAGAAAGCAAGGCTGGCTCTTATAAAACGGTTTTGAGGCCGTTAGCAAACAATATCTCTAAAAAATGTCTTCAAGGAAACCATGGTTATGGGATGTCTGTCTGCCGCTGCACTTAATGCCACCTTCTGTTGTTTCTGAAAGCAGCGACTTAATTCACTAGTGATCTAATGTAGCTGCGCTCAGGATGGTCACAGACACTGTATGGTGAGGGGACAGCACAGCTGCCCTTGCTCTGCAGGCTGCTGGCCGGAGGACCGTCCTCCCAGCTCTGCAGTAGCTTGAGCGCATCATACCTTTTCCCATCTGGCAGGCCTCGTCTTGATTAGACCTGCTCTGGTGGTTGTGACCGAGGGAACCAGTTGATTTTTCTCAGCTCTTACCTCCGCCTTCTGGAATGCGTACCTGGATGAAACTCTGGAGCTTCCGAGTATAGTAGAGCCTGGAGATGCATAGACCAGAGGCCTAAAGATGTGTTTGTTTTCTGTGCCTCTGAGGCATTTCTTTCCATGCTAAATTCACCAGGGTGTTGATTGTAGACACACACACATGCACACACATATTTTTGGTAAGACAGCCGTGTTCCTCAGTTACTTTCTTAAGTGCTTTGTTTCCCTCTTGCTCCACAGGAAGGTTGAGGACCTCCAGTTCCGGGTGGAGGAAGAATCAATTACTAAAGGCGACCTTGAGGTAAAACCCCTCCAGCTGTCTAGAGCGTGTATGGGTCCCAGTGTTCAGTAATGTGGACGAAGTCATTGGGCTCACGTGGCCAGAACGGGCAGCAGGGGGACGGCAGGAGCCCAGCCCCTGGCCAGCTGGGCTGTGGGTGTGGCCGTGAGGAGGCGATGGAGCCCCTCCCTGAGCCTGTGACTGTGCCATCCCATCTCCTGCGACTCAGTAAAATTTTCAGTACTCTTTCCTTGTGCTTTGAAATTCAGAACCTTGAATTGGAATTAATCAAGTCATAAACCTGGCAGTGTGTCCTGAGTGAGACTATGTCTCTCCGATGACCAGCAGTGGCATTCCTTGGAAGGAGTGTTTTCGCTTCATCCTCACAGTCCAAAACACAGCTTTTGCTTTATCTCAGCCTTGCTTCTCAGTTGAGCAGGACAAATCGTTTATAACCCTATAAAAGGAATAAATATGTTCTAGTTGTTGATTTTTTTTTTTTTTAACAAAAGTAATTACCAGAAAAAACAAGAGCAGTTTCTTTTTCTCCCACAGTATATTTTAAATTAATTTTCCTTTACCATCAAGTTTCCCCTCTCCTAACATTATTCCTATTCATTTTTTAATTAGGCACCAGAATTCAATGGTTTTGATGCTTTTCAAACTGCTGCCAGATATATGACAAGTGTAAATTATTGAATTTTTCAAATTCTGCAGATTTTTGGTACTTTAATCTGTAATATTTTAGTAAAAATTGCACTTTTTTGTGCAGCTCTCAGAATATACATTTATGCCACCATTAAAATTTTAGTCTATTGACTGCCCACACTGTGCTTAAATCTCAAGGGCCCTACCAAATAGGAATTCTGATTTCTTTGGAAATAAATGTATCTTTATAGTTAACAAAAAGGAAAACATTTTCTGAGTTTCAGTTTTAAAAGGCCCAGGATTTAATGGATTATTAGTAATAGTAATTCTTTACTCATTTTATGTATTGTACAATTACGTTTCTTTAGATTACTTTTGTGTTACTCTCATCCATTTAAAAACACCCCACAGTCTCATTAGAAGTTTCATACCATCATCTAATTCATTTGAAATATAGCCTAGGGTGTTTGGGAGAGGGACAGATTAAAATATTTACATCAGCACTAGGTTAGTCTATAGTCTGTTTGGTAAACTGACTTGAAATTAATCAAATTTATTTTGCCCCTAACATTGAAATTTTTAGTTGAATCTCTCTTTTGTTGTTGTTTAATTTTTTATTTTTTTACTGATAGCAAAAGAGCCAGATATCTGAAGATCCTGAGAATGTAAGAGGGCACTTAACTGTGTGGATATTCCCTTGTTAACACAGATTGATTACAGATTAAAATGCTTATTGATATACTCAAGTACTAACTGCATAATCTGACCTTGAGACACTGGCCTTAATATTTCTGTGCATGTGGCTTTTAAAGCAGTTACATTTGTATCCCAAAGAAATTGTGTGTAATAACTAAGCTCTGTAAACCCATTTGTTTTATGCATAGGCATTTGTTCACTTTATAAAGAATTTTGTCAAAATAATTTTGTCTGGGGGCCTGGCTTGCACTTAATTCATAGTGTCGTCTAATTTTAATAGAATTACTCCAAAAGAGATGCTAGCCGACTGAAGCATAAAACGTATTGCATGAAGGAGTTATAGAAATTCTGGGGGAAATTTTCCCACGTTGTCTAATTTTATTCTCAGGAGAGTTAAAGGGAATTGTGAATCCCAGACTGACTGTCTTTGGTGTGAGTGCCCCCTGCTGGCCAGTGCCTGTTCTTGCAGCTGACTAAAAATTCAAACTTGGCATTTGTTGCTGTGTTATTTTCCTTAGTTTTTGAAATTAGAGGCTGGCAATCTTCAGTGAAGTGACTGAGTGTTTTAAATTTATTATTTTCAAAGTGAGGTTTTTCGGGTAGCAGTGCTACTAGGCATGTAGGTGTTTTTCTTTTCCTCCCTCCTGCTTAAGATCAAACACCCAGTTCAAATCTTACCAAAGTGACCTCGAAAGCCCACCTTCTTGGTGCCCCTTGCCAGCTGTGGTACCAGCTGAAAGAAACTTAAAAACTTTTTACTTTGATTTACCACCACGAGAGAACAAAATTAAAATAAAGAATGTTACTTCCCACTGCCTCCTGGCAGCCAAAATAGACAACTCAAGACTAAACTTTTAAACCAGCCTCCGTTCTGAAGGTTTCCTTTCTGTGAAGCTACTTCAGTGATCTGGGTCTCCTCTCTCCTTCCCACACAGGCTCCCGCTGCCTCTGGTGTCAGTCTGCATGGGGTCTCCCTCCCGCTCTCTGTGCGCTTCTCGCAGAGCCTCTGCTTCCCTCCCAGCCCCTGTCCCAGAACTGCCCTCTAGGATGCGTGTCTTATTCTGAGAAAGGAATCATTTTAAAAGGAGGGTTGTCCTGTTGAGTGTAACATTTTTACAGCATACCATGGCATGGAAGTGGGTCACTAGTGCCCGTCCTGATGGCTGGTCCAAGACCGTTGTTGAGTCTCAGGTCATCTGTGTGTATCCCTGCCAGCAGGGAGATCTTGCTGCGGTCACCTGGAAGGGCTGGGAAGGGGAGAGAGCACATGCAGTGGATATGGGCTTTTTATCTTGAAGTAGTGACCTTTCACCCGCAGGACACTGAACTCTATGTCCAGAGGAGGGGAAAGGTTTTGTCGCCCTTTGCTTTCTGGGTTTTCGTGCTTGAGGCTGTGACCACAGTTACGTAGGTCTGTCTGGATTAGAGTCTTTTCTCATAAAAGCAGGTGAACTGAACAACTTCTATCCAAGGCACATACAGACGAAGGGGACTATCCAGACAATCAGGTTTCCAGTGGGATTATTTCTGTTCAGTGTAAGAGCTAAAATAGATAAAGGTTTGTTTTTTGTTTTGTTTTTTACATTTTATGTTCACCATTTAAACGTTCCATGAGGATTTATACCTGGTTTACAAGCAAAGGGAGCTTTTGAGTGCACTGGCCTCTGCAGGGTATCCCTGGAGTGAGATGTTTATAATGTAAAACAGTCCCCCCTCTGCTTAAGCTCCGCACTACTTTTTGTTACTTTATGTAGAGTTTGTTATTTTCTCATTGCCCATAATGGTCCAGACTGGTAGATCTAACCAGTTAGAACCACAAAATATTTAAGTTACAATAAGTAAGTAGAAGCTGCTGGGAGCAGCTCTCCCAGTAGGTTTTATAGTTGATTATGCTGAACCTGTCAGGTAGGAGAGGTAAGCGGGAAGAGATACATTCAGACTGACATTGAGATTATTTGATGAAGACTCTGGTAGAAAGAGGTCACATCTGGCTTCTCCATCAGGTTACATTTGAGTGATTGAGGATGGGGAAGCTCAGAGGTTTTAAAACGTGGTAGGATCTTACCAGCTTTTCTTGCATGGAGTTCAAACTCATGCTTTTGTGTCACCATTTCTTACCTCTGAGCTGATAAGAACTACATCTAGGGATCAAGATAAAAAGTCCAGTTCTGGCCAAACTTTTCTCCTGCTCTGGGCCTTAGGGATGGAGGCAATCAGAGCATAACTATTATTGAATTTTGTTTTTATAAATCTGATTTCCTTTTTTTTCCCCCCTGGTGACAGCCTTTAGAAAAGCCACTGTTGGAAAGAAATTAGAGCTTCGATGGCTCTTGCCTGTCAGATGTGAGAACGTTGCTAAGAATCTCAGCAAAGGCCACTGTTGTGATTTCCTGAGCTCTCGTTTCTAGGTTCCCTTTGTTGGGAGTCATTCTTGACCCCTGTTCACATCAAATGTATGCCAAAGTGCAAGGATCCGCTCTAGGGATTTTCTGAACCTTACGAGACTTGCGACATCGCCTTTCCCATATTTAGGTCATGGCGTTCATTTTGAGGGTTAAAGTGACCAAGTCAGTTCCATACACATTAATGTAAAAGCTGTTGTGGGGAGGAGGGAGGATGATAGCTTAGAGGAATATTAACTATTCTAATTTGTGCTGATAAACTTCACTTATCAATGTAACTCATATTTGGCTGCATGCACCTGACCCCTCATCTTGCCTCACGTGGTCCCCCTTTTCCTTCTCGGTAGACTAGCTCGCGCCCCGCCATCTCATCCTCGTGCCGTAGCATCCATCGTCCCGCGGCCGCCGCATCTCACTCCCCTCCTCTCCCGCCTCCATCACCGCCCCGTTCACCCCTTGGCGGAAGGTGCTGGTGCCCCGCCCGCATGCCGCGCTCTCCTCTGTGCTGGCACGTCACGGTGGCACTGTGTTCTTTCCTCTTCCTTTTTACTAACAGACGCAGACCAAACTGGAGCATGCCCGCATTAAGGAGCTTGAACAGAGCCTGCTCTTTGAAAAGACCAAAGCTGACAAACTGCAGAGGGAGTTAGAAGACACTAGGGTAATGGTTTTCACTATTTAATGAAGCAGAGCCGTGTATGTGCGTGGTGAACACCTCGGTGACTCGCCGTGCAGCTGGCCTAGCCTTGACCCAGTGGTTCCACCTCAGTTTGGTCCTGATGCTGTTCATGAGCTTACACGGATGGGTACGCCCAGGAGTCTTGTATCAGATCTTTCATCAAAGACCCGTTCCTTTGCTTAACTCAGCCAAAATCAAAATCGGAAACTCTACAGCCATATCCCTGGCATGGACATCCACGGCCTCACTTGAGGTTCTTTGTATTAATACCTTGAAACTCATTTCTCCAGCTTGCCACAAGCAGTCAATTGTCCTCTTACTCTCACATTCCTAGTTCCTGGGTTTCCTAGATGACTTTTTATTTTTTTTACTTTAGCTCTCTTTTCCTGCCTTCTTTCCTGGCCTCTTGGAGGAAGGGCATGGAAACATTGATTCTTTTAAATGAGAGTTGAGGACTTTCACCCTAGTTACCTTCCTTTTTTCTTGATACCTGCTCTCTCTTCGCACTTCCCTCCTTTCTGTCCCCTAGGAAGTTAAAATCTCAGCTGTCAGGAAGGAAAAGTATGTTGGGAACAGAATGGCTTCTTACCACTCCCTCCCCCTCAGAGCCATTACATCTCTCCTATTTTTGCTCATGTATTTATTAAAGCACCTACGCAGTGCTACTTCATGCCAGACTCTGTTCCGAGTCCTTTACAAGTATTAATATAGTCTCACCACAACCCCAGGAGGGAGCTGGTAGTATTGTCTCCATTTTACAGATGAGGACACTGAGGCACAGAGAGGTTAACTAATTTGCCTAAGGTCGCACAGCTAATAGTAAGATGGAGCCAAGATTTATATTTAGGCCATTTGGCCCCGGAGCCTGTGTCCTTAACCACACAGATAAATGTGTCTGTTATGGAAATAGTTTTGTGCTGAAACATTTAAGAAATAATGAGTCGTTTACACAGAAGAAAACATATATTTATGTAAATAATACACCTTTTAAATCATGAATTTGATTGTCAGTGGCTAAATTGCCAAGATCCTTAACTTTAAAATTTCAAAAATTACTCTATCTCTGATCAAATATTGATATCCTGATTTTTTCTTATGAATTATTTGTATTTTTAGAAATTTCTCTTGTTAAGAAATCATCAACCGATCTAAAAATCTAGATAACTGAATGATTTTTCTTCTCTAAATCATGTTTTTATTTTTTAAGAAGAAAGAAAATGTTCAGTCAGCCTCCAAACTAAAGCTATCTCCTGTGTACTGGGTGAGAAAAATGTCCTGGTAGTTTGGTGCTGTTTCTTCGTTGCTCGAGAGCCAAAGACTTGACCTGGGAAACAGAAGGGACGGATGATAGGACTGAGCCCCTGTAGTGAGACTGGCTGTTGAAGTAAGGATGTTTTTTTACTTCCAAACTCCTCTCCCAGATTGCTTTGTCATCAAGCAACTTGGATGCTTTTGTTGTTGGTTTTTGGCTGTGGATAAGAAGACATCCGTTCACGGCATGAATATTCATGTATTTCAGATTCAAGCTGTCATTTTTCTTTTTTTCCTAAAAAAAAAAAAAAAATTCTTAATTGATTTTAGAGAGAGAGGAAGGAAGGGAGAGAGAGAAACATCAATTTTTGTTGTTCTGCTTACTTATGCATTCATTGGCTGATTCTTGTACGTGCCCTGGCCGGAGATCGAACCCGCCGCAACCTTGGCATATCGGGAAGATGCGCTAACCAACTGAGCTACCCGACCAGGGCTCAAGCTGTCATTTTTCTGTAACAAGTCGTGTCTTCTGTTGATCCTCACTCTTGGTTTGTCAAGCGTGAAACCGACCAGTGACCCATATATGTTTCATATCACCTACATGCCTTTTAGGAAGCACTCTAGAATTCCTCTAAGCCAGTGAGCCCAGCTTATAAACAGTGTGGCCGGTGCCGTAGAGATCTCAGCAAGAATAAGAAATGACACCTAACTTTTCTGGCCTCTAACAGGAGAGGCAGGCACATAGATAGTTTCACCTGAGGGCAGACTTTGGGAAATAAAAAAATAGCTGTGAAAATGCTACATGAAGTATCACACTATTTCTTTTGCTTATTTTTTTACTTGGCATTTCCTTAGTTTGACTGTTTGTTCTGCCTAATTAAGAACTATTGCCCTACTGGGTTTATGTCATAGACCTTGTAGCAGTGAGGTTTATTAATGTTTTGTGTAATGTTACTTTGTGATAAACTTTTGAACTACCCCACCTCACATCCCAGTATGTTGATGAATTAGCATCTTTAACCTGAAGCGGCTATAGCCCTGAAACACGACGATTATAGACGAACAGTTCTGAAATATTTAATGACTTGATTGTGCAGTTTTGGATACCCAAGTACTTCTCTTGCTACCTTTTTGTGGACATTTTAGTCTTTATCGATATCACAGCCTGCAGGCGGACAGAGGAAATAGAGGCAGCACAGCCATTGCTTTCTGTCCCAGGAAAGGCAGTGAGGGGAGGAGTCTTTATCTGGAGGAGTTTGGGTCCTTGAAGTTTGGGACTCACTGGTGTGTTTAATTCATTCACGTTCCCTTCTATTTCCCAGGTTAGTCAAGTAATTTTTATTCCCAAGGCTACCATTTCCCACATACGTTGTGTACTAATCTGACTGCCTCAGAGGTGGCAGAGGGAAATAATTTCCTAAGAAAGAAAGGGCACAGGTAATGAAAGTGTTTTTCTTAGTCCTGGGGTGTTTGTTTAAGAGAATCAGGTTCTTGGGTCCTATCCCAGAGCTAAAATAGAATCAAAACACATGAGAGTGACAGGGCACCTGCACTGTAGACATACGTCCAGGTGACTTACGTGTACTCTAGAGTCTGAGAACCACTGGGTTAGGGGAACAAGGTATGTACCTCAGAATGCTGACAGAGTTAATTAAAAGTACAAAAAGGGGTACTATATAGGATTCTTACATATTATTGCAGGTAAGTCATCATTCTTTGTCATTTTTATAAATAGGTCAGTAAATTAGTTCATCACCCAGTTGAGGCATTTATTCTACAGTTGATGTGATATTTGTTGAAACATTGGTTAGGTAATTTTACACCTTTCATATCTGTGCTAGTCAATAGAAGTATAATTTGAGCCACATATATATATAATTGAAAATTTTCTGGTACTCCCATTAACATATGTTTTTAAAAGATAAAAAGGAAATTAAGGTGAAATTAATAACATTTTATTTAAATGAATATATATAAAATATTTCATCATGTAGTCAATATAAAAATCATTAAGATATTTTACGTTCTTTTTTCTCCAAGTCTTCAGAATCTAATGTATATTTTACACTGAGAGCCACATCACTTCAGATGAGCCCATTTCAAGTGCTCAGTAGCCATACGTGGCTCAGGGCTCCTATACTGAACAGCAGCGTCCTTTAAAATCACCTCCGTCAGGTTGATGAGCACTTATACAGAGGGGAGCTGGCTAGGGAAAAACAGGAAGAATCAGAGGATTCTTTCTGCCAGCCCGCAGCTGTATTTGAGAACTTTGAAATTTACTGTTTCTGTTAACTTATCAGTCGGTGGGTACTTCCCCAATTTAAGCCTCTTCAGAGGAAAAAAATATTTTTGGAGTTAAACTATAAGTTTTAAATTCCTTTAGCATCTCAAAGTGTCAGAAGTTTGCCAAATATTATAGTTTTGAATTGGAGCTACCAGAACTGGGCTTAAGTCAAGATCAAAGTTAGAGACAGATTAACATGTAGGCTGCCTTGAGATGGGGTAGTTATTTAAGATCTTCAAAGTTAAAATTGTCGGTGATCTGTTGTTTAAATGATCTCTTTTTCTTTGGACTGCTGTTAATAGGTGGCTACAGTGTCAGAAAAGTCTCGTATAATGGAGCTAGAGAAAGACCTAGCGTTGAGGGCACAGGAGGTAACCGAGCTGCGAAGAAGGCTCGAGTCCAGTAAACCTGCCGGGGATGTCGATGTGTCGCTCTCCCTTTTGCAAGAGATAAGCTCTTTGCAAGAGAAGTTAGAAGCCACCCGTACTGACCACCAGAGAGAGATCAGCTCTCTGAAGGAGCGTTTTGGAGCCCAGGAGGAAACTCATCAGAAGGAGGTGAAGGCCCTTCAGGCTGCCACGGGGAAGCTTTCCAAGGAGAACGAGTCCCTGCGGAACCAGCTTGGCCACGCCAACAAGGAGAACTCAGACATGACAGCGCTGTGGAGGTCCAAGCTGGAGGCGGCCATCGCGTCCCACCAGCAGGCCATGGAGGGGCTGAAGGCCTCCTTTAGCAAGGGGGTCGGGGCAGAGGTGGCAGAGTTTGCCGAGCTAAAGACACAAATAGAGAAACTGAGACTGGATCACCAGCACGAAATAGAAAACCTGCAGAATCAACAAGACTCCGAACGGTCCGCTCATGCTCAAGAGGTAGAAGCTGTCAGGGCTAAGCTGATGGAGGTCATTAAAGAGAAAGAGAACAGTCTGGAGGCCCTCAAGTCAAAACTGGACAAGGCAGAAGACCAGCACCTCGTGGAGATGGAAGACACCTTAAGCAAACTGCAGGAAGCTGAGATAAAGGTAAAGGAGCTGGAGGCACTGCAAGCCAAATGCAGTGAACAAACCAAAGTTATTGATAATTTTACAGCACAACTCAAGGCAGCTGAGGAAAAGCTCTTGGATCTGGATGCCCTTCAGAAAACCAGTTCCGAAGGTAAATTGGAACTCGAGAAACTTAGACAGCAGCTTGAGGCAGCTGAGAAACAGATTGAAAGCTTGGAGGTGGAAAGGAATGCTGAAAGTGACAAGGTTTGTGCCGGCACCCTCCATCTTTTTTTTTCCCAGTTGTGACTCTTACTTTGCATCGTATTTTTTTTTTTAAGTTGAGGTTAACTCATCTCCCAAATTCCTGATTTAGTTAAAACAGATTGCTTGGTGCTAGCAAATTCCCCCGTTGAGTATAGTGTCTTCTGATTATCTTGAGTATGGTTTCATCTGATAGGATTTGAGAAAATAATGGCTTGATTATGTGAGTTTGTTTTGGTTTCCTATAACCTGGACAGTGTATTCCTTTACCTCCGTGCTGTTCTGTGACCTCCTGTTCAAGCTTCTAGACCTCAAGATTCTAGAGGTCTAGAATCTCCTTTTAAAATAGAGAACTCCCCAGATTAATGGTGCTAAGGTAAATGAACGAATTAGATAGAAACTTATAAGATTATCTCCTTCCCCAGCACCATCATTGCCTCGTCTGTGAGGTCATATATAAAACAGAATGTGAGCTCTGAGCTCTACTTGACTGTCATAAATGAACATGCCACTATGAGTAACGTTCACAGCAGAATTGGGGTCTAGAGCCCAGAGCCCTTTGTAGTGCCTCTTATGTCCCATTGGAGTGTTTTCTGTGCCACAAGGAGAGCACAGTCTAGTTCCTACTTTAGGGAAAATACTGGATGGGGATGCTTTTGGTTGAGGTATAGGAAATTCTATGAAACATTCACCGGCTACATTTCCCATAGCTGTCTAGGCTTGTCAAATGTCGTCTTCGTTTTAAGGCTTATCTGAGGAGTGAATGCTTCTTCCCAGTACTCATGCTGCTAGTTGAGGTGCTGGTACTGATGCCGAAGGTTCTGAGCTACTTGCAGGAGAAGCTGCTCTGTCAGCAAAGAAGGAGGGGCTGTGAGAGTTAAATAGGGAGGAGAGGACAGACAAATGGCAGAAATCGCTAAATAACCTTCATTGAAGATGATAAACTACTTACAGGAAATTTTTCTCAAATCTCACTCGGGTCCAAAATACTGATCAAGCCCGGCCGGGCGTGGCTCAGTGGTTGAGCATCTACCTAGGATCCAGGCGATCAGGGTTCGATTCCCGGTCAGAGCACATGCCCGGGTTGCGGGCTGTAGCCGATCAATGACTCATCATTGATGTTTCTGTCTCTCTCTCTCCCTCTCCTTTCCTCTCTCTGAAATCAATAAAGATATATTTAAAAAAACAAACAAAACAAAAAAACAAAATACCGATCAAAAACCAAAAATTAATTAGTGGAGAAAATGTAGCTAATGGTTGGTGTACTTTTTTACATGAAAATTTAATGGAAGCCCATTTCGGATGACTGTGGTCTAGTGCATTTTAAAGTTTCATTTTTATGTTGAAATACTATCGGCACATAAAAAATACAGAGACAGGTAACATGGACCACATATATCCATTGCTTCTATCCCAAGGTTCTTAAAGTCCAGGAAATGAAATTGCTCAATTGACTCGTTCAGAAAGTAAGCGTCCATACTTCTGCTTTAAACCATGCTGATGCTCCAAGTGCAGGTATAGGAAAGCACTCTTTATCTTCAAATAGCCATTAGACCGTCATATCTAGGACTAACTGCGAAAAGCCATTGATTTCCTAGAGTTAAAAAAAAAAAAGATTTCTTACCCATGGCTTCTCCCCTTTCAGTTGTGTTTGGTTGTTTGTTTCTCATAAATTTTTTGTCATTTTATTTTTTGTTTCTCATTCTTTTTTGTTTTGTTCATTTGCTCCTGCACCGCGTGACTCTGTGTGGTAGGCCAGTAGCATTACCAAAGAGCTGCAGGGGAAAGAGCTGTCGCTCAGTAAGCTTCAGCAGCACTTGGGTGAAGTCAGTCACGTGAAGGAGGCTTTGGAGAAAGAACTTGAGGTGTTGGTAAGTACCTGCTGTGCCTCTGGATCTCAGCGTTTCTGGCCGTTCGAATTGTTCCTGTTTAAAAACGAAGTCTCCATAGAGAAAAAAGTATTGCACCTATTTCCTTTCTCTTTCAAAGTATTGATTTAAGTTTCATGTATTGGTAATTGGCTGATAAATACCTTGAGGGGCATCAGATCAAACCCAAACTAGCAGTAAAGGTAGGTATTACAGTCGCCACCCCTCATCCTCGGAGGATACATTCCAAGACCTCCACTTGCCTGGTGACAGCAAGCCCGCAAGCCATCCTGGACATTGGCACCCCGCTAGCAAGGCAGGGCGCCCCTTCCACAAATTCCCAGAATTTGCATCAGGAGGGTCCTTTTCCTTTCATGCATCCTTGTTCCTTAACCTTGAGTCCTAAGGCTGCTTTTTCTTAGCTTCTCTCAACTTTTCCCTTCCACCTTGCCTCCTGCATCGAATACTTGAGCTCAGTCAAGGCCCATAACCATGGGTGGTGCCGGTGACACCCACACATGGTAGGAGAGGAGCGGTGNTTTTCCCTTCCACCTTGCCTCCTGCATCGAATACTTGAGCTCAGTCAAGGCCCATAACCATGGGTGGTGCCGGCTTGTGGAGGAACTAGATAAGGGAAATATACCACACACGTGCATATATGTAAATAAGTCTGCACACGCACACATGTACGGATGCACGTGCATACTGGTCATGCACACGCAAACCCCATTCACTTGTGCGTAAACACGCACAGTAGGCATACGGTAGTAATTGGTGCTTGTGTGTTTTTAGAATAAATTAGTTTTAGTGAAACAAAGCCAGCCACAAACAGTAGATGGCGTAGTTATAACTGGTTGATACATTTAGTTTCATAATCTGAAATCTTTCTATTCTGAATACCCGATTCTTTTTCTTTAGAAAGAAAAGTTTGCTGGTGCGTCAGAGGAGGCGGTCTCTGTCCAGAAAAGCATGCAAGGTATGTGTTTCTAGCATGTGAGCAGATCGCATTAGAGAGTGTCCCATTGTCGCAGCAGAGCTGGCCCCACACAGTACTCGCTGCCCAGAGCCCCACTTCACCGTCCTGGAGGCTCCTGCTGTGCTCAGTAGTACTGGATTCCATGGGCTTCCTGAAGCCTCACAGGCCCAGTAATCTTTTCTTCTCGACTTAGTTTGTTTCATATTAAAATGTAACTATACTTGGAGAACAATGTTATTTTACCTAACCTTTAGTCCCTGATAGCGCTATTGAGTGTTAAGTGGAAGGCACCCGGTGCCTGCCTGATCTACAGGTTCAGAGATGTGGAAGAGATGCGTGCTTATTACTTCTTGAGGTTCATTGTACAGTGTTTGGTCGGCAGTGGGGCTTTCTTAGCATTCCCGTGACCTCAGATCTCAAGCATAGGATTTGATTTGATTGTAGGATAGCCAAGCTCTAGGTGGCTTATTAAATATGAAATATATTAAACTTTTAACTTTATCCCAAATAGAAACTGTAAATAAATTACACCAAAAAGAGGAGCAGTTTAATGAGCTGTCTTCTGAATTGGAGAAGTTGAGAGGAAATTTAACAGGTAAGAAGATGGCTCTGGTTACTAAACGTTAGATATAGTAGGCTTCCTTGGATTTGAGATCATTGTGTGTTAGACTAACGTATCTCCTATTCATGTTTAACGTCTTCACTCGTTGTGGTGATATGATGGGATAAAATACTTGTTCGAGGCCTGTAACTTTCAGCAAATCCTCTCGGCCCTGTTTTCTACAAGTAAGCTTCCTCCACCACATCGCTCCTCTCCTGCTGCCCTCGAGCCAGCCAGCCGCCTTTCATCTGGCTACTCTAACAGCTGGCCTCCTGCTCTGCCTTCTGCTCTGCCCGTGTCCCCTTTGGCCTGTTCTCAACACAGCAGCCGGAGCGATCCTTCAACACCAAGTCAGCTCCTGTCACTCTTCCACTCAGGACTGCCCATTGGCTCGCACCTCACTCAGAGGAAAAGCTTGGTCCTTACCGTCACCAGGCCCTGTGTGCTCTCTGTTTCACCTTGTACTGCTTTTCTCTGTCCTCTCTACTCCAACCATAGTGGCCTCCTTGGTGATCCCTGCATATCAGGCATGTTCCTGCCTCAGGGCCTTTGCGATTGCTTTCCCCTGGCCTGCAGGCCCTTTCTTTCACTTCCTTCAGGTCTTTACTTAAATGTCAGCGTCTCAGAGAGGCCCTATCTCGGAGTTAACCTCCTCAGCTTCTTTCTAGTTCCTTTCTCTGCTTCTTTTTTTTTCTTCGTAGCACTTGTCACTATCATACCATTTATCTTCTTTATTGATCTTTATTGTCTGTCTCCTTTGCTAAATATAATTTTCACAGGGATTGCTATATGAAAATATCCCCAGAGCAAGGCTGGGTGTACAGGATGCAGGCAGTACATTTTTGTTCATTATAACACAACAGTGCTATTTTTTTCTGTATATATTCAGACATGGAGTCAAAATTTAGAGAGAGAGATGAAAAAGAAGAGCAGTTGATAAAGGCGAAAGAAAAACTGGAAAATGACATTGCAGAAATAATGAAAATGTCGGGAGATAATTCTTCCCAGTTGACAAAGATGAATGACGAGTTGCGTCTGAAAGAAAGGTACGTGCGAGCAGGAGTAGGGGCGCCGCTTCAGGCCCCACGGCGGGTCTCGGTGGGCGGGAGCCCGTCCTCAGCGCTGGGAGGTTTGTTTCCTCTCTCTTCTTTCTCCATTACCTCAGTATATCCTTGAATCTCCTACTTAACCTCTAAGGAATACAATCTTGTAGGCCTTTTGTTGACTTGTTAAGAAAAGGTAGTAGTTTCCCAATGGCAGTAACATCTTTTACAGGCAGTTAAAAATATTTTTAACCTATTTCAGTGTAATGCTAGTTGACGCTTATGAAGGGCGTACTGTGTGCCATGCAGTATGCTGACAGCTTTAGAGATGGAGTATATTTTCTAATTCTCATAATAATCCTGTGAGGTGAGTATACTGCTCTGGTCCTTACGCTGAGGTCGTGTTTGATTATTTCCTCCTATTGATAGCTGCCGTATAAAAGTCAAATATCTTATAAAGCAAACATTTTCAGAGGACATTTTAGGACCATTAGACTTCCGATTCTGAAAGTGTCACTACCTGGCAAAGTTAAGTTTACACCTAGCCACGCACCACACACACTTCAATGTTGGTGGGTGACCGCGACTGGGCCTTGCTTGGCCCACTTTGGTCAGCCCTGCTGTGAGGCGGGTGCCGCGGGTGGCTGTGGCATGGTGTCATGGAGAAGGTCCATTTCTGTAGGTGTTTTATAGGCATAACACGCAGAGGCACCACCAGGTTTCCCTCCTCCAGTCTCCAGGTTGATGTCCCTTGTTTTCTGTACATCTTTCTTCGACCACATGGTTATCTTTAAGCTAGGACTTAAGGTTATTTATTGTCGTGTTTATATCTTTTGTTCTCAAGCATCCCTAGAATGAGTTTTTTATAATCTCGTCTGCTAAAATTTTGAAACTTTGTAAATACTCAATCTTTTTACTTTTCACTCATTTGTCCTTATACATCTGTTAACATAAAATAACAATTACAGTCGTTGTCACTCTAAATAATGTATTTATAACTATGACCATTGTTAAAATTATTCTTCAGGGCAAGTCAAGTTTTTGTTGTTGCTTATGTCAAATGTTATTAATTCCTCGTAATATTTATAGTCATTAATATAGTTATTAATAGTATCTTTTTAGTGGAACTCTAGAATTGAAAGCATTCTTTTGAAAAATCTGACACTTTGTGTTAAATTGTTCTAGAAACGTAGAAGAATTGCAGCTAAAACTTACCAAGGCCAGTGAAAAAGTGAGCTCTCTGCAGAAAACTATTGGGGAAGTAACACTGAAGGCCGAGCAGAGCCAGCAAGAAGCAGCTGCAAAGCACGAAGAAGAGAAGAAAGACTTGCTGGAGAAACTGCAGGGCCTGGTAAGGGAGCAAATGGGGGCCATCTGCCCCGGTGACAGGGAGGGCAGCTCAGGTGTGGCCAAGTGACTTGTTCCTTCTTTTGGCCTTGCAGGAGAAGAAGGTGGAGCTGAGCCACAACCAGTGTCAGGATCTGAAAGCCAGGTATGAGGAAGCCAGCTCTAAGACCAAGGCTAAGCATGAGGAGGCCCTGCAGAAACTGCAGAAGCAGCTGCTGGATGCGGAGGAGAGGCTGACGGCTGCCCAGCATCAGAACAGGGACTTGTTGCAGGAGATGGTGGAGCTGAGAAAACAAGCCGACAAGGCCAGAGTACGTGATGAGAGAATCACTTTGTGTTCATTTGCTTGAGTCCTGTGCAGGCTGCAAGGGCAGGGCGCTTAGCAGGCGGCAGCTAACTGGATAAACTCAGTTGGCCTTGACAAGCTCAGTCACCTTCCCACTGCATGACCCCGTAGTGAACCACACTTCCTGTGGCTTCAAGTGTTCTGTACCAGCTTCTGTCCTTCTCGGGGGTGGCCATGGCTGCAGGTGTCTCCCCTGAACGCACTGTGTGGTCATCACCCCCTTTGCTGCTTGCTCCCCAGCTGTCGCAGAGTCTGATGTGGCCTGAGCTCTGTCTGCCTGCTTGTAGCAGACTCTTGTGGAAGCCTTTTCCTCTCATCTTGGCCATCTCGCTGCCACCTTGTGCTGGGGTTAGGGGAGACCTGTTGCAGAAAAGCCAGAGGCAGAGGGCAGGTGAAGAGGTCAGCAGGGCGTGGAGCCTGGCTGGAGGAACAGCTCCCAGAGGAGAACTTAGAAGAGAGGGCTCTAGATAGCACTTTTCATGTCCCCAGGAGGTCACCGGGGTTTACTGGCAAGGAAGCTGGATGCAGGGACCATGAGGAAGCATCCTCTTATTAAACAGCACAGCTTGATGCAGTGCATTTTGCTTTATGCTATCAGGGTTGTATCTGTGCCCCAGCAGGTGTTTTTAGACTCTGGTAACTTAATGAAGTTCAACCTTTCTACTATTATTTAACCTTTTATAGTTCGTTGGGTTGTATTTTTAAAGATTCTTTTATGCATCCTTTCTACGATAGGAATTTTTGAATAATTAGAATGGCAGGGAAGAATCTTACAGCCTGACGTCAAAATCACGTGGCTATGTTTATCTTCTAGGTAGCTCATCAGGAATAATTTCAAAAGTTCTCTCAAAGATGAAAGGAACCAGTAGCTATCTCAGTACTTTGCAGAGCTAAACCCACTATGTAGTATCCTTTTTTTAAATTTAAAAAAAAAAAGTCATTTTTGGTTTCAGAGAGGAAGGGAGAGGGAGAGAGAAAGAGAAACAGCAGTGATAAGAGAGAAACATCATCGATAGGCCGCCTCCTGCACGCCCCCTGCTGGGGATCGAGCCCACAGCCTGCGCATGTGCCCTGACCAGGAATCGAACTGCAATCTCCTGGATTCTAGGTCGATGCTCAACTGCTGAGCCAGACCAGCCAGGCTGTAGTGTCCTTTTAGGGGCTCTGTTCATCGGGATTCATTCCCCCGTTACCCAGCTTCTATGACATTTATTGTAAAAAAAATTTTTAACTTCTGTGATTTAGGTTACATTAAGTTATTTGGGCTGCATTTGTCTGCTTGATTTCATTTTGTTTCCATTCTTTCCACCTTTTGTTCCTGTAGTCGCTAACTTATTTGTTAACATCAGCCAAAAAAGAACTTGAACTAATGTCAGAAGAGCTGAGGGGTCTGAAATCTGAGAAGCAGCTTCTCGCACAGGAGGGCAATGCTCTAAAGTTAGAGAAAGGCTCGCTCTTGTCCAAGCTCGTAGAGGTGGAGGCCAGAATAACATTGCTGCAAGAAGACCAGCAGAAGCTGTGGTCAATAAACGAGGCTCTTAATTTAGAAAAGGAGAGAGTCTTCGCCGAAAAGCAAGGTGCTGAAAAACTGTGTCAACAGGAACAGCTCCATAGCGAAGCGTTGGCTGTCGAGAGAGAGAAGTTGCTTAAAGAAATCAATAATGCACAGGAAGAACTCTTGAAGATAAACATAGACAATGATTCTCTGCAAGCATCCAAAGCAGCCTTGCAGGCTCTCGTGGAAGAACTCCAGCTCAACAGAGACACTCTGCTTGCCGAGTGCGAGAAGAGTCGAGACGAAAAGGAGCGCCTGGAGAACCACATCAAGAAGCTTATCACAGAGAACCTTGCCTTGGCTAAAGATAAAGACGAGATTATTCAGAGGCTTCAGAGCTCTTATGAGGAGCTCGCCAAAGATCAGAAAACCTTGGTGCAGGAGATCAAAGATCTCACAACAGAGAAAAAGTTAGCGTCAGAGAAACAGTCAGGCCTTGAAAACACGTGCGTAGCCCTGAAGGCAGAAAGGGACGCACTCCTGCAGAACAGCAGGGACCTGCAGGTGGAGAAGAGCACTCTGCTCCAAGACCAGGACAAGCTGAACATCAGCCTGGCAGCCGCGCTCCAGGTCAAAAAGCTGCTCAGCGCTGAAGCCAGTGGGCTCCGCACGCAGCTGGACGACACCAGCAAAGCTCTGAGACAGGCTGAGCTGGAGGCGGTGCAGCTCCAGGCCACCAACACCAGCCTCACAAAGCTCCTAGAGGAAATTAAGACCAGCCGGGAGATCACGGACTCCGAGTGCATCCAGCTTCTGCATGAGAAGGAAATCGTGGCCTCGTCCGAGAGGAGGCTCCTGGCCGAAAAGGAAGAGCTTCTGCGTGAAAATAGGCTCGTCACCGAGAAGCTCAACAAACGCTCGGAGGAGGCTGCCCACGTTGAGGTGAGCCTAAACGAGAGGATCGCTTACCTGGCTTCCGAGAAGGAGGTGGTTTGTCAGAAAATGTCCAAGATCAAAAAGCAGCTTGACAGTCTCCTGCGAGAAAAGTCAGTGCTGGAAATGCAGAACGGAGATTTGCTTGCAGAAAGAGAAAACTCCATCAACACCATCGGAGAGCTTAAGAGGAAGTACGACCAGGAGTCCGCAAACAGAAGGGTCGTCGTGCAGGAGAAGATGAAACTCCTCGGGAATCTCGATGCTCTGAAGAGAGAGCTTCAAGAGAGGAAAAAGGAGAACCAAGAACTGGCAGCCACCAAGTGTGAGCTCTCGCTGATGCTCAAAGAGGCTCAGAATGCCAAAAAGCATCTAGAAAAAGAGCATACCAGTGTACGGCAAGCCAAGGAGAGCTTGAATGCAGAACTGGAGACGTGCTGCTCTGAGAAGGACATGTTGCTGAGGGACGGGCTGAACCTGCAGGAGGAGTGTCAGAAGCTCAACGAGGAGGTGCAGGCAGCGCAGCGGTCCCTCACGCTGGAGAAGGAAGCCAGGGCCAAGGAGGCCGAGTCCTCCTCGTATGAGAGCAGCAAGCTCTACGGGAGGGTGGCGCTCCTGGAGCAGGAGCTGGGAGAGCTCAGGGCACATACTGAGGAGCTCCAGGCTGAAAATTTCATGCTAATCCAAGAGAAGAGCAAATCAGAGCAAAAAGTGGCGGAGATACTTAAGGAAAAGGAGCTCCTGGCTGCAGAAACGGCGCAGCTCGCCGCCAACATAGAGGCGCTGAAGAGCGACTTCGCTTCCTTGTCCAAGTCCAAGTTAGAGCTGCAGGAGCTGCACAGCTGCCTCAGCAAGATCCTGGACGACCTCCGGCTGAAGCACGAGGTGACCCTGGCCGATCGGGCCAAGGCGCTGCAGGACAATGAGAGCCTGCTGGCGGAGAAGAGGGAGGCAGTGCAGGAGAGGGATGAGCTCCTGGAGGAGAAGGGGAAGCTGGCCGAGAGCCACTTCATCCTGCAGAAGGAGGTCAGCCAGTTGGCCAAGACCAACAGCCACCTTTCCGCCAATCTCCTGGAGTCTCAGAACGAAAACCGTATTTTGAGGAAAGACAAGAGCAAGCTCACTCTTAAAATTAGGGAGCTCGAGACTCTTCACTCATTCACGGTAAAGTGGGAGGTCCCAGCACTGAGCGCCCGGACTCACTGCACTAGCTCGCTAGTGGCCAAGGGCATCTGTCCATTTCCATACCAGGAAACCACCCCATTCGCTCAGCCACTTGTGTGTCTCCAGCTGTTTGTTGCCACCCGAAAGGGCAGATGCTGACTACATGCCTAACTGCAGTAGCCTCTCTCCCTCAGACAAGTTGTCCGCTGTGAATAACAAAGGTGTACGTTTTAATTTGGGGGGTCTCCGTGGAAAGGCCCACTGTGGTTCTTACGGGCGCCCGAACACTAGTAAAGCGGGCACATGTGAGATGTACAGTGTCTTCCATTTGGCTTCTTACTGTTTCATTGTGTCTGCCCATTTGGAGTCGGAAGATGCTGGCGGAGCCTCCACGGCTGGTGTCGGGGAAGGCGTAACGCAGAATTCCCATTCGCTTTATTGGACCACTTGAAATTGCCAGCAACTTCCTAAAAAAGATTTTCAGTCATTTTAATGATTATTTTTAATAGATTGCCAGCCAAGGGTTTATTCCCATATTTCCATTATCTTTTTTATTCACAGCCATATTGATACTCATCATCCACAGCTTCTCATAGACTTCTCCATTCAGTGCTTCTCCTCAGACACTTGCCCTTTACATTGTAATTGCCCAAATAATTTTTATTTCTATTTGAAAGATTCCCCACCTAAATTCTGAGTGATTTCAAAAGGCCCCCAAGTAGAAATAGCAAGAGTAGTATTTTAACCTTGAACAGGAAATATGATTAAGAGAAAAACTCAGCGGTATAAGGATGCTACTCTGTATTATCACTGAACATTTCTCTCAAGCATAAGCCGGGATGGTGAGCATAACGTGGAGCTGGCATTGGGAGGTGCAGGTCCAGAGGGGTCTGAAATTATGCACGTTGCATATGACAATTGGCTTGTTGAAAACTGGCCCGGGAAGGCTGCGTTCTACCTGAAAGCAAAGCCCTTTTCACACCTCGGTCTGTGTGTGCTGACGTCAGGCTGGCCCGTCCTCCCGGTGTGGTTCCTAAGCCACAGACACTGGCGTGCCCGTGCAGCACAGCCAGAGTGGGGGCGGTGAGGGCGTCCCCATCCCTTACAGTGCCTTCTTGTGTTTAGGCTGCTCAGACAGCAGAAGATGCTGTGCAGATCATGGAGCAGATGACCAAAGAGAAGACCGAAACCCTGGCCTCCTTGGAGAACACCAAGCAAACCAATGAAAAGCTGCAGACCGAAGTAATCATGTTTAAATGGCTTTTTATACAAAGGACAGTGTGTCGACTTCCTAGGATGTTTGATCACTAACTCAGGATTGTTTATTTTTTGAAGTGTGGCCTCATACAGGTGTGATCTACATTAGTGGAGTCGAATGTACACCAGAACCAGGATAATATTAAAGTGCATTGCTTCACTGCTACCTAGTCGGATCCTTTTCAAAGTGAGAGGAAGCCCCAGTAGCATGGCTTTCTATGGTAGTTGTTTGGTGATAGAACTAATGAGAGGAGGTACTGATTACATGCTCTAGATTTTGTATCTTTTATCTTAGATCACAAATACTTTTTTTTCCCAACTCTCTCCCAACTTTGAGCCACTAAATTTCATTCCTCAGCTCTGAGTTTGACGTAGGCCTTTTCTTGGCCTAATTCAGTACTGGTTCCCAATCATGTCATTTCAAATTACTCACTCCTGGGTCTTGGACAAGTTTGTGACTTTGAGATGATTTTGATCCTGTCCAAAAGTAGCATTCTCATTCTTATACCCTTTTCTGATTTCCTTCTTCCACCTTCCCAAATCAGACCAGCCCTTTCTATCTCTGGTCACATTCCCACTCCTCCTTGTCACGTGTCTGGACTCCCGCCAGGGGCCAGGCAGACCCTAAGCTGGCTGCGTCCCCTTTGGGCAGGTGACGGGGCTGAGGGTGGGTGAGGGTCTTTCAGTCCCACGCCGTGGCTTTTTCCTTTTCAGGCTGAAGTTCAGGTGGATAACTACATTTCCCCCATCTACAAATGATTTTGAGTCCTTTTTTAAGTGAGGACTATGTCCATTTGGTGCTCAGGTTGAAAAAGTCACATCCTAAATCGCTAATCTATGGGGAAGGAAAGGAGTTTGTTTTCATTACGAAGCATAACCCTTACTTTTGTCATGCCTCTGCAGTTTCTTTTTTAAAGACGGTCATACTTGAATAGCAAGTTCAATGATACGTATCGGTGATTGTACACAAAGTGAAAGGAGACTGGTTTTCACTTATGAAGCAGTTTAGTGTGATGTTTCGGCCAGGTGTACGGGAGTGTCCAGCTAAGTGTCAGGAGGTTCATAGTGGGTAACAGACTGGTCATTTGTAATCTCTTCACCCAGGTGCCTTTTTTTAAAAAGTGATTAATTTCACTGTATTTTTAATGCACATTTTCATGAATAATTTGTCCTTGTTCAGTCACATCATTATAAAATGAGTAATTTCACTGAGCTTTTTCTCTTGGTCTCTAAGTTGGACACACTTAAAGAAAACAACTTGAAAAACGTGGAGGAGCTAAACAAGTCCAAGGAACGCCTGACCGTCGAGAACCAGAAAATGGAAGAATTCAGAAGAGAAATGTAAGTTTCCCTCCTGTGAGAGGCTGTATCGCAGTTACTGAGAATCACAAAAGAGAAAACCTTGCTCACTATTTAAAAAAATACTTGACAAGTACACGAAGTAAAAATAGTCACCCCCTACCCCCCAGGTGCTATCGTGCCTGAGAAGTCGCTCCTGTAACACTGTTATAAGTCAGAACTACAGGTGCGGTGAAGGTCAGAATGCAGTGTGTGCGAGCTGGTGATCAGGACCTTTGGGTTCAAATGTGACTATGTAAAGCCTTGTGAAAATACAAGTGGAATCAGAGTTTTGTAGAGTAGTGTGATCACACAATAGCCAGTCTTAACGTTTCTCAACATCGGGCCCTTTAATAATAAATCCCTCAAAACCTTTTCTATAGGGGAAAAAACCCCAGCAGTGCTGAGATTATCGGTCTTGACTTTTAAGAGTAATCACATCTCCTGGCCTGGAAATGAAATGAGCAGGATTTTGCAAGCATTTTTCTAATCAAGATTTACCCATCAGACTGTTGCCCAAACTGAGGCAGACAGGTCGTCCATGTTTCCTTGGTCAACGCCACATTTCAAGTTCGGTTCTTATAATTATGCAGGTAGCTGTTTAGCTGGCATTTAAAAAATATATATGTCTTTATTGATTTGAGAGAGAGAGAGAGAGAGGAAGAGAGAAACATCAATGGGCTGCCTCCTGCATGCCCCCTACTGGGGATTGAGCTCGAAACCCAGACATTCGCCCTGACCAGGAATAGGCCCAGCGACCTTTTGGTGCCTGCCAAAGCCCAGTAACACAGGTAGTGGTCACCGTGGTGGGGAAATGAATTCAGGGCCAGTACAGCTCTGGATTCCAGTTCCCCACCCCCCAAGACACCCATAGTTCTGCTAACCTGGAGCATTCGAGCACTGAGTTTACTTCAGTTCATTTGTGTCACACAGGCAGCTGGTGAGGGAGGATATGAGCAGCAGGAGAAGATTCCCTAACCAGCCTCCCCCTGCCATGATCCCACCTCCGAGCTCTCTGGGCCACACTAGGTAATGGAGGGGCAGGGCCAGAGTGGGCCTCCCAAGAGAGCTCGGGAGTTAGACAATATCCCTCTTTCCTGCTGGGAGACTTCAGAGCCCCTTGCCGTGTCATTCCATTCATACAGTGTTGACGTGTTCAACGTCCTTGCTAAGTTTTTTCTCCTGTTACCTGCCCCACCAGTGGGGGTGGTTTCACCTCTCGTAAGAGAAGTTGTTTTTGTGCCCCCTCCCTTGAAAGCTCAGCCTCGTGCCAGAGGAAGCAGAGGACCAGGAGCAGAAGACAGGCCCCCCCACCCCTCTAACTTTAGCCTGTCTTCCTCCCTGAAGCTGTGCTCCCCAGATCTCTGACTCCTGAGGGCAGTGGGCCAGGCGAGGGGCCAGACCACAGGGCGGACAGAACCTAGGCTGCTTTTTTTGAATCCTCACCCGAGGATATATTTTCATTGATCTTTTTAGAGAGAGAGGAAGGCGGGGGCAGAGAGAAGCATTGATTGGTTGCCCCCGTACAGTGCCCTGACCAGGAATTGAACTGGCCACCTTTTGGTGCACAAGATGACACTCAGCCAACTGAACCACACCGACCAGGCTGCTTTGGTCCTTAACTTTTTTCTGGCCCACCAGCCTTGAGGGAACCACGTCTTCTGCCAGTCACTTGCCCAGTATTCTTAGCAGGAGGGAGGGGCAGCAGGGGACACCCTAGTGACATGTCCGGAGCTGGTGGAGGGAGGTATGAGGAGTGGGTGGAGATAGCCCCTACCCTCAGAGACTCATTGTTCCCTGCCCTAGATTTGGCCACCTTTCAAGGGCCATCTAATACATGTCCTATGTAACGGGAACAGTGCTTCTATAAAATAAAAATAAAAAGCAGTCATTTGACTGCTCCTTAGTCCCTCAGGGCTGAAAGCTAGAGATGAGCAGGTGTTTGTTCTATGGTTTGGCCTGTACAGGGCTCTTCGTGTCCTCTAGAGCTTGTCTGGTATTTCCCTCACCCAACAGGACTGTGGGTCCTCAAGGACAAGGGACACCAGTATAGACACAGGAGGTCTACTGGGAACTATAGAGCATTGCCCTTGGCACTGGCCGCCCTGCACCTAGACCCTGTGTTCCTTTTCCTCTGTGCTGCTTGCTAGACTGGTTTTAGGAAAACTCTTCCTTGGGTTAGCCAGCTCCTACTCTCAGATGGAAAGAGAGAATGCAGTAGTGTCTCTCTGCCGTATAATATTGAACCTTAGGGACAATGACACGAGCAATCTAATGTTTTTCTTTATTCACCTGGCAAGGTGCTAAATGAGACAATGTACGTAAAAGCGTTTTTGTAGATTTTAAAGCATCGAACCAATACTTAGGGCATTTTGATATTCCTCAGATTCCTTGTTTTAATTTCCTGGCTGTGGGTCCCTAATAGACACCAAGGACTTAAACTTTAAAAAATAAAAATCTTTCATAGAGAAAAGGCAGGACCACAAACGTGACTCACAGGCCACACAAGCGCTGAGACCAAACATCCCCTGAGGAAGGCAGTGACCACCTGGGAAGAAAAGGTTTGGCTCATGATGACGTCATCCTAAGTAAAACCTTCCATTTTGTCAAGAACTGATAGGTTTTAGAAGATGAACTTTAGCTGCCCTGTGTGGGTGTTACTTCGATCCATAGTTAAAATCAAGCCTCCCAGGTTTTGAATGACTAATTCCCTCCATCTCAGTTTTTCTTCACTTGTTAAACAAACATCTCCGTAAAACACTACATTTAATGTGCTAAGAGAATCGTTTTGTGGATTAAGTTCCCCAAATCTTCGTGCGGTCACCCCCGTGTGGATGTTATAGATGAATGGAGAGCTAAAGATCTAGAAAACTGAGATGCCACTGCAGCCTGTTAGACAGTTGAAGTTAAAAATAGATGTGCTCATGCGTCAGCAGATGGATTCGTATCCAGGTGACTGGACTCAGAATCCAGCCACGTAGCACAGCTCACCCAATGAGGGTAGCCAGCTCAGACTTAGGATTCACAATTGCATCAAAACCCGAGATGGCACAAAACTAAAATCTAGTCATTGAATAAAATATTTGGAATGTCCATGTATAGAGAATAACAATTTGGGAAGTATATTTTGGATTAATTTTAGTCTTCAAGGATGCTGAGTAAATAGACTTAGCCTGCTCATATTTTATATGCTGATACTGATGAGATAGGTTAGGAGACTGCTTTTTTATTTACTTCTTTTAATTATAAATTAGCATTATGGAAAGAATAGAGTCCAAATAAAACACCTATTATGTAACTAGAAAACTGAATTTCCTTGGGGATTACACCTCTAGTTGGCCAAAAAATGCACTGAGATTCATGCCAGCACTTGATTCTGACAGATACGGACAAATGAGACCATTAGATTTTGATTTCTGCCAGAAAAAAAAACAGATTACAGACTTATGCAGTTAGAACAGAGCACCTTGGCAGCAGAGCAAATCCTTTGTCAACATCGGTAGGCTTTAGTATTATTTTCTAATGGATATAGTCCTACCGACCATTTCACTTGTCACTTATTTCATGGTAACATTGCATTTTGTGGGGGGCGTGTATAGAAGTAAGGTCAGTGTGGGTGGCGAGAGGCTGGATGCAGAGTTTATTAGGTTTTTAGAAAATGTAATTGTGGGCGGCAGTCCTCCTGAGGTCAGAGCCCCACAGCCCCGCGTGGGGATAACACTGCCTCCTGGTGTGCAGATCCCATCAGGCACGTGACCCAGATATATTTTCCTCGGTGCTGTGAAGCTGGTCGGCTCCCACAGTTTCCGTGCCTGTCTTGTTTCTATGGTAACCCCGCGCCCACTGTCCTTGCAGAGAAGCCCTGAAGCAGGCAGCCGCTCAGAAGTCCCAGCAGCTTTCGGCGCTGAAGGAGGAGAACGTGAAACTTGCCGAGGAGCTGGGGAGGAGCAGGGACAAAGTCACGAGCCACCAGAAGGTCAGTGGGCCTCGGCCGGGGTGCTCCCAGCTCTGCCACACCTGTGCCTCCCGCTGCACGGGGCTCTGCTCCAAGGGGTTGGGTCATTCCGCCTGGGATTTCATGTTGCCTGTGTTCTGTGCTCCATGTTCCAAGTGTGCTGCTTAGGGGAGAAGTGAGCTGCCATGTCCTTAAGAAAAACAAACAGCACTGGGAACTTGCAAGCAAGAAGAAATTAAGATCTTTCTTAGCTGATCTTATAGCGATGCATTTTAATGGACAGGGACAATGTCTTCTTCCTACTGCCGCTTGGATTTTAAAATGATTTTTCTCTAAGGTCTTTTTTTTTTTCTTTCATCAAATTGGTTTTAAGGAAACAGATTCCAAGAATATGGTTTTGGTGTGAGGGTTGGCAGCTGTTTCTAAATAGAACTCTGCTTTACTTTAAATAAAAAATGTAAGAGACATTTCCTAATGGAACTGTGTATCCATGTGTACCCGTGTGTGTTGGCGTGTGGGATGTGTTACACCTGGAATGAATGCCAGCCACAGCCCATGTGCTCCTGCACTTAAATCCCAAAGGTTCCTGGCAAGTTCATTAAACACTGAAACCAAACTGAGTTTAAAGAATGCCACGTTCTGCCCTTTATTCTTCACCCACTGAATCAGGTGCTAGGTAACCGATTAGTCCCATCTCACGTCAGAGCAGACGCCCAAAGGGATGTCATGGAGAGAGCGTCACTGTGTAGAAGCTTTGATCTGTACGTCAAGGGGAAATTTTCCCCCAGCATCCTTTGCAAACATCTATTCTCACGGGTAGAGTAGTTTGGGATAAGCGTAGAGCATCCCTGGACATGGCACCATCTGTGGCAGAAGCACTTTCTGGAGAGTTGATCTCAGACTTTAACATCCTCACTGTAACTTTCCACACATTTTTTACTTCATGAAAGAGATACCACGTCTCTAGCCTCCGGGAGTATGGTGATGCCGCTGGCAATGGTCTCTCCCCTCCGCTGGGTCCTGCTGTGTGACAGGCACACATAGGTGACAGCTGCCACCTCTCTCATCTGTAAAAGGGGAAAGGACCACAGAGGTGAGGTGACTTGTGCAGCCTCCTGCAGCTGAGTGTCAGGAGCCCTCTGTCTTCTGGTTTGGGCCAGGAAAGGACCAGAGCTAAGTAGGGTGGCTGCCCTCTCCTGTGATAGGATGTGAGAAGCCAGAGCTCGTGAAGAGTACAGGCCCTTTCTCCAGAGGAGGTTTTCTTCCCTGGCACAGACAGAGCATCCAAAACATTGGCTAGCTCTGAGCTCATTGTGTCCGTGAGATCTGGCAAGGGAAGGGCCTCGGCCCAGTGCCGCGTCTGTTCCCATATCCCTTCATCTCATTTTGTTGAGTTTGTCTGGTGGAGGGAACACCCAGAGGTCACCCTCTCGTCGCATGTCGTGACCTTCCCTGGACCCTTGATTCATCTCTGTTTCTGTCACCCAGACCCGGAGAGGATTCGGGGGGGGGCGGAGTGCCATGTGCCTGGGAAGTTTCTCAGGGCCCTGCTCAGCCCTCCAGGTGGTCCTCTTTCGCATGTTGGGGTCTCAGCTTCCTTTTGAACAGCTTCTGTGACTAAACATTTGAAAGTCAGGGATGTTGAAAGGTGTAGGGCATGAGAAGTAGGCCTCTCCTCGGGCTCGTTAGCAACTGAGCTTTTGTGTGTGTGCTTTTTTCCAGGTGGAAGAAGAGAGATCTGCGCTCAATAATCAGCTGTTAGAAATGAAAAAGAGGTAGGTCGTCTTTTTCTGTGTATCTCTGGCACGTGTGTGCGTGCGCGCGTTTAACCAGGAAAACGTGAGAACTTGATGTGTACAGAGACTTGTAGAAAGCGTACGACCTTCTCGTTCAGAAACTTGCACCGTGGTAGTTCCGCACTCGTAACTGACACATGATGAAGCCTCCCTCCCGGGAGTCGCAGCATTCGTTACTAACGCCAAGAACAGCTGAACTTCTAAGCCGCTTTCAGTGGCGTTTGTTCGGAAGTGTTCTAAAGTCGGCCTGTCTCACCACACTGCTGTTCCCCCCTAGTTTCAGTAACTAAACTTGCTGTCGTTTTACAGAGAGTAATTGATCTGCGTAGAAACACTGATTCCCGTTCCATAAAAATTTTCATTTTTCAGTAATAACAGGCAACACAATTATAAGTGTTTATGTTCTGAAAAAGAGCTTTGTTATTTTTTCATGATAATCAAACAGTATTCAAATGGAAGCCTCCCGATCCTTTTGAGTAAGAATACATGGGCCCGTAGAAATAACCATTGGGAAACTCGCTTATATACCCTGACAGTCTGCTCTTTTAAAATGTGCCGTTTTTGTGTAATTAAAAATAATAATGAAATAGAATAGGAAAACAAGAATTCTCACACTTGCAAAGTGTTCTCTTCTTACTTGTCAGGGCTGAGGGGCTCCCCTCCCCTCCCCGGGCCACTGGCACATGCGTTTTAGTCACACTGCAGTGCCCCTCCTGCCCGCTCGGCCGCTGCTGAGGAATTGAGGGCTGTGCTCAGCCTACTAGATAGTTGAGTTCCATGAACTACATTCTATAGGACGTTAGGCCTTGGTCCAGGGCTGCCTCTCTTCCTCCTTTCCTTCTGTAATTAAGAAACACTGAGATTCATAATCCTTTAAAGTTTCACGCCAGAATGTGTGTGTGTTGGTACCGCCATGCTCCTGGTCCCGCTGGGTGTTCTCCAGGGAACCGTGCGTGAGCCATGGTGACTGGGCTGCCCCGACCTAATGCACAGCCCTGCCCACATGGGCCTTGGATGCTTATTTTTACATTAATAAGACTTTATTTCTTTCAAAAGAACCTCATGTCCAAAGTTACCCAGGACATGTGAAAAAGTTCATAGAGCTATTTCTGTGACATCCTGGCCAGGGGACGTATAAAAATGAGCTGATGTAAGCGCTGGCATGTCCCCTTGCATTTACATGGCACTTCAGAATTCACAAGTCTATCTAATCTCAAAACAACCCAGTGAAGTATAGAATGAGGCGTGCATTTAAAAAGGGTGGAGCGAAAGCCTGAAGTCAGGCAGCTTGGCCAAGAATTCAGGTACAGGCATAAGACCTAGGTCCTTGGATTTTTATGCTGGTTCTTGTCTCACTATACATTTATTTATTATCCCTTTTTAAAAGAAAGATGCTATGCTTCTTCAGCCCTTAGCACATGACTAAATGTTTCACATACCTTTCAAAATGTGATTGGGCGTGTGACTTTTTTCACGGCTTCAAAAGGTGGGACAAATTTGAGTGCCAGCCAATCCCTGTCTTCATATCTCACCATCTCTGCTCCCCTTTTAGGTTCTGGATATGTTTAGGAGAATGCCTCTTAAAAATCACTCGTTATCAGTAAATGCAGATGAAGTGGAGAGGTGTGTCCCTCTGGCCGCTAAAGCCCACAGCAGGTGGGGGAGCTCATTTGGCTTCCCTCCCCACCCTCTGGGCTTTTTGATGTCAGAGAAGGGACTTCAGAGCCAGAATCATAGATGTGGACTTTTGGGACTTTTGGGGTCAGAATCAATTCTGCTAGTGTAAATGCCAGATGGCTGTGAGGACCGAGAACTGGTTGATGGTTCTGTCTACAAACTCTGCAGAGGTCCTGTGCTGCTCACTGTGGGTGGCTGACTGTCTGACTGTCTCCGAGCTCTCGCTGCTTACCGATGCTCATTTCACCCCTCTCTTTTCCCTTCCTACTCTTGCTTCCTTTGCTATATCTGTGTGTCTTTCATGGTAAGACTAAAGAAAGTCTATCCACGTTATAATAAATAAATTTCATATATTTTTAGTAAACCAAATTGTTGTATATATTTTTTGGCTGCCTTTGTCCCTTTGTTGTCTTGCTTTTGTTTTGTAAATATTCTCAGCAGCGCGCACACACACACACACACACACACACACTCCCGTTATCTTTTTTTGTACCTATATACATCAAAGAGCTGCAGTGCAAACTTAGTTCTCCTGACTGACTTGCATTTCTCTTCATATTTCTAATATTTGGTTCTTGTTATCTCGCATTTTAAAGCTTGCCCAGTTACACTTTAAGGTATTCGCTTGATTACTAGAATTTGTTTCTTGTGTAAGTGGTAAGGAAAGAATCTGGCTAGTGCGTTCCCTTGGGGAAAAGATTTCCGGCCCCTCTGGCCCTGTTTTCATATTATGTTTATCTCCCCTTTTTGATATTTTGAGTCAGCCAGTATGATTTGTGACTCAGAGGTCAGTGACATTGGCATAAATGGCTTAACTCAGCCCCTCTTGGTTTGCACAGTAGGATTTGGGTTTAGAAATAGCCTAAGCAGCCAGCAGAGAGGATCTTTCCCAAAGATGAGCTGCCAACATCTGTTTTTCCTGTCATTTGTCCCTTCCTCAACCACTCAGCTGTTGATAACTTGCACAGGAAAGGTTCTGCCTGCCCTCTTAGAAAGCAGCCTTGCTCAGAAGCTGTGTGTATGTGATGAGCAGATAAAGACGCTGTACCTTCTTCCTCCTGCCAGCTGGTGGTCCCCAAGACCAGGAATCTGTGACATCTTGGCTAACTGGAGTCCTGATGATGGAAGAACCTAAATCTATTCAGTGAACCCCAAATCCTGGTATTTTCCAGTAGAAACACTTAAAATAACATTCAGATTTGAGTTGGATTTCTAACAAGTGGAGCTCTTGGAACAGGTTTTACAATAGAGTAAACTATTGAGTAAGTTCACTAGAGACTTAAGGAGCCCAGGCTTTATTGAATCTTCGGATAACATCCAATATTTATTTTCCAGGTGGAAGAAGTGTCCGTTTATTCTGTCTGTTAAAATCATTCTGTTTTAACCCAAACAAGATCTTATTTCTTAGCAAGGTGTTAGTAATTTAGCATCACCAATGCCCGCCCCCTTTTCATTGTACAAATAACACTTGGGTGTTGAGTTCAAGAAGTTTCTGTAAGTCTCAAATTCTTTTCTTACTACTTACCACTCCAGAGTGTAAGCGTAAGCCACACAGTGAGATAAATACAACACTTACATTTTTATCTTTGCGTAGAATTCACCATAAGTCATGAGAATTCTGTAATTCGTGTGCCGGATATCTTGGGTCTCACTAACCAGACACGTACATTCTGCCATTTCTAACCAGGGCCTCAGTTTCCAATCCTTCTAGTCGCCTCTGAAACAGACCAAACCTGACACGTTCCACACTCATCCAGTTACTGCCAGTGGAACGGGGAGTTATGAGTTCTCGCTTGTGATCAGCTCTGAGTCTCGGTTGTATGGCCTGAGGGCTAGCTAGGAAAATTCTCTCCCGTTTTGTTTTTTCCAAAATATTTTTGTGATACAACGTCTTTTTCCCCTTGTTTCACACTGCATGTAATTTTTAAAAATTACTTATTATTTTAAAGTTATAGATTCACAGAAGAGTTGCGAAGGTTGTTCAGAGTGTACCCACGTGCCCTTCCCCTAGGGCCCCCTTAATGTGAATGTTGTACATTCCCTGATACATTGATCAGAACTTAGGAGGGGACACTGCTGCACACTCTCAGCTGGACCAGGTGTTACTCAGGTTGCCCCAGTTTTCCCACTGACATCATTTTTCTGCTCCAGGGCCCAGTATAGGCGGCCACACTGCATTCAGGGTCACTGCTCCCTAGTCTCCTCCAGTCTGACTCTCAGTCCTCACTCTGGTGACTTGACCATAACACTCTCGAATGCACGTAATTTCTCAACAGAAACTTAAAACACACACAAACACAGAGCAGCCAGCCCTTTGGGGTTGTATCTAGTGTCTTGGCCCCCGCCCCCGTCTTCCCTTCATCTTTCCCCTTCTTTCCCACTCCTTTGCCTCCAAGATAAGTGTTTCCCTCTCATCAAAGGCCTGGTCCCCTCCCTCTGCTGATGACCAAACACTGAGTCAGGCTGAGAACATAACCCCAGTGCTCAGCCCCCCTCCCTCCAGACGCCCCCATGCATTCATTCTGTCCCTGGAACTCCATTTTAACATTTCTGCTCTGGCCTTTATGTAGTTACCTTTCATTCCTGTGAGCAATGTAGTGTCCTCTTCAGATTCCACGGATGAAAAGTAGTCTGAACAGTAGTGCTATTTGCTCCTGTTTCGGCCCATAAGATCTCAAAAACACATTCTTGGAACTTGCTGAAAGTTACTGAAATTAGTGAGAACCAATCGATACTTCCAGCATAAAACTGCTCTGCATGACATCGTATAACCGCTTTGCATGTGTGTATTTTAATCGTTGTTATTGCTTGGTAATAGTTTATTCAAGAAGTAACGGGATTCAGCTGGGATTCGATATTTAGAAGAATTCTTTGGGGGTGCAACAGTCTTGTTTTTTTTTTAACAATTGTACGTCTTCCAAAGTTATTAACTTGTTTCTTTAAATTCAAACGGATGCAATGATGTGCAGGTTGTGGCATGTCTGCCTAGTAAACTTTTCCTCCCTGGCGGTAAGTAAAGCGGAAGCACAGTAGCCTCCGCCCTATAACGCTTCCCTGGGAGACACGCTCTTTAACTGACGTTGATCGCGTGCTTGTTCTAGGACAGTCGTGCGCAGATCACTCTCTCGGCTGATTTCTGGGATTTTTAACTCTTTGGTCTTTTAGAGAATCCAAGTTAATAAAAGACACCGATGAGGAAAAAGCTTCCCTGCAGAAGTCCATCAGCATTACGAGTGCCCTACTCACGGGCAAGGATGCAGAGCTGGAGAAGCTGAGGGGCGAGGTAGGTACCGGCCCGCGCGAGCCCTCCCGCCGCCCGCGCAGGCCCGCGCCTAAGCCACACCGCCGTGTTGCAGGTCGCCGTGCTGCGGGGAGAGAACGCTTCTGCCAAGTCCTTGCATTCGGTTGTTCAGTCTCTCGAGTCTGATAAGGTGAAGCTCGAGCTCAAGGTAAAGAACTTGGAGCTTCAGCTCAAAGAAAACAGGAGGCAGCTCAGCAACTCCTCAGGTAAAATGATGACCGCGTGCGTGGCGCCTCTTGCTGACCCCACTGCTCCCCTCACAGGAGCCCTATCCAGTCGGGATGCTCCGCCCCCCCTGACGTACCCCTCCATCCTTGGCTGTGCCACCATTTAATCAGATGAGGGCTGATCATGACCCAGGTCCGATGCGAAGGGGCGCCTGGTATCTGTCCCACTTCCGGACCTGCCCCTGGGTTCGAGTGCTGGCAGAAACATAAGCTGGCAGATGCCAGCTGCCATCGCTGTAGAGCTGTGGGTTCTGGAGGTGTACAGTGAGGAGAACAGATGGTCCCTCACTTGTTAAATTCAGATGGACACGGGGGCCATTCTCACCTGGCAGTGAGCCAGCCCGAGAGAGGACCCCCGGAGGGGTCGGGCCAGCGGCACAGGTCCCTTAGGGGTCCAGCGATGGGACAGGAGCTTACGAGTGCGTTCTCAGGCGCATCTGCCAACTTTACAGGGAATGGGTTTTCGTTGCAATAACGGGAAAAAGGTGATGATTTTTTTAAAACGCTCCGCTTTCCCCCACAAGGCAATACTGACGCTCGGGCAGAAGATGACGAGAGAGTCCAGGAGAGTCAGGTAGGGTCTTTGTTTTGCGATGCCTACTTGCTATTGTAAAAAATCATTTAATCTCTTGAACAGTGATACGTTCATGTGGTCTAAGGATTAAGCAGTATTAAAAATATATACAGTAGAACATCTTCCTCCAATCCCTTCTCTTCTGGTCAGTTCCCAGCCCTCCAAACAGGCAATCACTGTGGTTAGTGTCTTTTAAAAAAATCTTTTCAGGGATTTTGAAAAACGTAAATATAAGCCAAGACTACTAGTCTTTTCCCTTTTTATGTACATGGTGCCATATTATATAAACTGACTGGCACTTACCTCTTTCATCGCTGTATAGTGTTCCATTAAATGGATGCACCTTAATGGAATTCATTCTCTATCGGTTGATGTAACATTTGGGATGTTTCTGATCTAGGTTCTATAAACAATGCTGACTCAAATTTTGCAGATATACTAGTATTCCTTCGGTATAAATTCCTAGAACTAGAATTGTTCTGTCAAAAGGTTCCTTGCTTATCTCTGCCTTAAAAAGATGGGGTTCTTGAAAACTGTTTCCTAAAGCCAAAATTAACAAGATAGCTTTTAGCTTTAGAAATGCAGTTATATGGAGACAAAGTTTCTCTATCTGGAGATATAATGGCATATAGGCACAAGCATCCCTTGTCAATTTTAATAATATATTTTTGGGTATATTTATCGTGTTCAAAAATCACAGGTACAAAAGCCATCTTTGATTTGTAAATAAAAGAAAAGCTCAGGGGGTTTGAAAGGCATGGAAGGATTCAGCCAAGTACTAACTTACCCGGTTAGCATTATCTGCTTAGTGTGTCCATGTGATAAACTTCCACTTGATTAACAGTGTTTTTCTTTCTCCGCTTCCCTTTCTGCTTCCGCTTGCCTCATCTGCCACTGCCAACGCTTTTCTTCCGATCAGCAAATGGTTTGTTTTGTGTTTCCTAATTTGCGAGCGTGTGCACGCGCGTTTTCTCACTATGCTTCCATCCGTGTTGTGCATCCCTCCTCTTCCGAAACAAAGCTCTTAACACGATGAAGGCTTAGAAAGTGCAGGTTAAGAAGTGAGCATAGATCAGTGGGCCCACCTTCAGTGTTGGCAGGGATGTTCTGCAGGGAACCACAGAGCTCCCGATTGCTTCGTTTCGTAACATGCCCTGGCAGAGAAAAAGGTCAGCTACCTCTTTAAAAATGGAAATGTCTGTGTGTGTATACACTTGTACACATTTTTTTTAGTATAGTCAAGTGGGATTTTTTCCCCAGCTATTTAGAGAAATGAGACCTTTTTATTATTTGTAGAAGAGGGAATGAACTTCTTGTTTTTAAATGAAAGTGCCCTTGGTTTGAAAGCAAATGTTAGGACAAGAGTGTTTTTCCCTGCTGGTCATCTCGTCCCACTGCCCAGTGAATCTTGGCACAGTTGCTTTTCCCAGTCGTGGCACCTGAGCGCCGCCCTGTACCTGAGCGTGTGCCACTGTCTCCTCAGTGGAAATGGAGCTTGAGCCTACTCTTTCAGACTCCTCCATTTTTCTCTGAGGACTCAGTCGCCATCCCACCATGATCCGTCAGTGAGCATGGTGGGAGGAGAATTTCCCTGAACTTTTCAAATCTCCAGATATAAGTCATGGATTGGTTCTACAGTGTAATAAAACAACTCCGTGGTTATGCTTCTTGTAAAATGTTGTATGTGTACATCTTTGTGTACACATCAAACATAAGTTCGGTGTCAGCCACTATTGGCCCCTCTAACATCCAGCACCCCCCGCATCAATAGCATGAGTCTGCGGCCGTGACTTCTTGATATTCACTCCACTGGACACGTTTCAGACGTTTTACACATCTGTTGTGTTGTTTTTTCCCCTGAACAAATTAGATTGATTTCCTAAATTCAGTGATTGTGGACCTTCAAAGGAAGAACCAAGACCTCAAGATGAAGGTAGAGATGATGTCAGAAGCAGCCCTTAATGGGAATGGTGACGACCTGAATAACTATGACAGGTATTTCATATGAAGCAGCACTGCTTAGAACCTAAATAAACTGTGGTTTTAAAGCTAGGTTCCCCAGTGGGTTGGAGAAACCGTTTCTCTGGGGCTGATTGGCCATAAGTCCATTTTCATCAATCTGGCAAGACAGTGATACACACTACAGAGGGTTCGACGTAGACATTTAGAGTGGGGATTGTGGTAGTTACACTTGCGGCTCAACTCTTGCTTGCTTTCTGTCATTTACAAGTGGTAGGGGTGAGTTTCTGACCATGCACATTAATATTCGCAGTGATGACCAGGAGAAACAGTCCAAGAAGAAGCCTCGCCTCTTCTGTGACATATGCGACTGCTTTGATCTCCATGACACAGAGGACTGTCCTACCCAGGCACAGATGTCCGAGGACCCGCCCCACTCCACGCACCACGGCAGCCGGAGCGAGGAGCGCCCCTACTGTGAAATCTGCGAGATGTTTGGGCACTGGGCAACCAACTGCAATGATGACGAGACCTTCTGATGAAGCCTTGCGTGCGAACTGGGCTTTCTCAGACGCACTAGCATCTGGGCAACTGAACACCAGCATTATGTGTGCAGACTTCAGGAGAACTCATGTTATTTTTGACCCCGTCAACAAATCTAAGAAAATATTTTGATCTTCAACAAATCACCCTTTTAGTTTCCCCATATAAGTTAGACTAATAAATACTCAGGAGGTGAGTTTTCACCTCTGATTTTTGTCTTCTTGATTTTCAAGTTTCAACAAGACATTGCATCAGAGGCTGTTACGTTTATTGCCTCGAGGGAAACCTCTGAGAACAATCCCTACCCTTCCAATACCTTATTTAAGTAACTTTAAATTATGCCGTTACTTCTCATATTTGCACTAAAATCTTCCCAGGCTGCGTTTGTATAGTTAGATATTTTGGTTAAGCTTTGACACTGGAATGAGTTGAAAAAAATGTGCCATTTTGCATTTTCATCTGTTCATTTAAAGTATTTTATTTTTAGTCAAAGAAATACCTGAGCTCTTCGCGCACTACCTGCTGTCAGTAGTGCCTTCACTTCAGGCTTAGTAACACTTAGGTGTGATTATAAAATCATGAAACAGATAAAGGGAGGGGCACACCCCCAGACTGTTGCGGGACATTTTATAATCGATATGCTGCACCCATTTACTCTACTGTGGGGTTTTGTTTGTTGGTTTTGCATAATTTCAGCTTCTATATATTATATGTATATATTTTTTAAAAAATCTCTATTTTGGGAAAAAAACATACACATTGTGTCTTTCTTTTCAGATTTTCACCTTTATGAAACAGAAAACACTTAGAATGTTCATCAGGACATAATGGGCTAGGCCAGAAATAGCAGTACACAGCTTTGGGACTGACTTATTTTTTCTCTTTTGTTTTCATTTTGTTCCTTTATCAGATATAAATATAATTTTCTCCCCTTCTCCAGCAGATACCCCAGCAGTCAATTAACTAGATAAATAAGCCACTATACAACACCTACATTAACCCATCTATGGTCTTTACAGGTTGTTTATTCTCTGTTTTTAGATGAATGTATGATGAGAAATTCAACATTAATAATTTTGGATTTTCTTATCACAAAAAATTAAATGAAGGACCTCAGCCACCAGAAGTTTATCAACCAGTTTTAATCTATTTATCTTGATTTGAATGTCTTCTCGAAGATGTAAAAAGTAATAAATAAATGTCTCTTCCATGCTATGTGTATAGTAAGAACTTCTATAATTGTACATATGCCTTTGATGTATTTCCCCCTCAAGATTATTAACTGTGTTTGGCAAGTGAAAAGTCTGTAATCAGTTGAAATTTCTGGTTATAAACATAATAGGAAGTGTTTCACAAACAGTATGTAAAGCAGTATTAAAATTTGAGCAAACAGATGTTCTATACCTACTTTAATAAATGGTTATTCTTTTTGTCCAGTGGTAGTAACGAATATTATTCTCAGGTTCATTTGTCATAATGGGTTTTCTTCAAACGAGCAAGTGCTATAGATGCAAATAGCAATTTCTACTGCAGTCTCGCTGATAAACAGCTTTAAGAACTTGGTATGGGGGGGGCGTGTGTGTGTGTGTGTGTGTTGATTTGGGAGAGAAACATCTAAGTGAGAGAAGCACAGAGTGGTCGCCTCCCATCGGCGCGCGCCCCGCGCGGGTACCTGCGCCCTGGCGGGGATCGAACCCGCGACAGGCGCGGGCGGCACCCGCTGGGCCAGACCAGCCGGGCCTGGGCCAGCTTTTGTGTGAATTGCAGGGTCCTGTGATTCCCGCAACTGACAACATGCGAATTTTACGGATGCGGCGAGCGGCGGGCCCGGGGTTCCACGTGGGGCGGTGTCACCGTCCAGGAGGAGCCGCGGGGTCGGCCCCGGGCCCGTGGCAGCGGTGGCCCCCAAGCGCCAAGGGCAACGCGAAGGGCCGCCGGGCCGCTGTCATTAAAAGATTTCCATCCCCTTTGGCTCCAAGCTACCATTTTTCAGCGGCAATTTTTAAAACTCAAGCGGGGCGCGCGGGGTCCAGTCTCCG